TATGGGGCAGTATAGGGGCAGTGTGTGTATGGGGCAGTATGGGGGCAGTGTGTGTGTATGGGGCAGTATGGGGGGCAGTGTGTGTGTGTGTGTGTGTGTGTGTGTGTGTGTGTGTGTGTCACCACCTCCCTCACTCTGTCACTAGTCACCACCTCCCTCACTCTGTCACCAGTCATCCCCTCACTCTGCCACTAGTCACCCCTTCCCTCACTCTGTCACCTGTCACCCCCTCACTCTAGTGACAGAGTGAGGGAGGGTGTGACTAGTGACAGAGAGAGGGAGGTTGTGACTAGTGACAGAGAGAGGGAGGTGGTGACTAGTGACAGAGGGAGGGATGGGGTGACTAGTGACAGTTACCATCTCCCTTACTCTGTCACTAGTCACCACCTCCATCACTCTGTCACCCCCTCACTCTAGTGACAGAGTGAGGGAGGGTGTGACTAGTGACAGAGAGAGGGGGGGTGTGACTAGTGACAGAGTGAGGGAAGGGGTGACTAGTGACAGTCACCACCTCCTTCACTCTGTCACTAGTCACCCCCTCCCTCACTCTGTCAATGTGTCACCCCCTTCCTCACTCTGTCACTAGTCACCACTTCCTTCCCTCACTCTGCCACTAGTCACCCCTTCCCTTACTCTAGTGACAGAGTGAGGGAGGGGGTGACTAGTGACAGTGAGGAAGGGGGTGACTAGGGACAGAGTGAGGGAGGGGGTGACTAATGACAGTCACCATCTCCCTCACTCTGTCACTAGTCACCACCTCCATCACTCTGTCACCTGTCACCCCCTCACTCTAGTGACAGAGTGAGGGAGGGTGTGACTAGTGACAGAGAGAGGGAGGGTGTGACTAGTGACAGAGTGAGGGAGGGTGTGATTAGTGACAGAGTGAGGGAGGGTGTGACTAGTGACAGAGAGAGGGAGGTGGTGACTAGTGACAGAGGGAGGGATGGGGTGACTAGTGACAGTTACCACCTCCTTCACTCTGTCACTAGTCACTCCCTCCATCACTCTGTCATTGTGCACCCCCTTCCTCACTCTGTCACTAGTCACCCACTCCCTCCCTCACTCTGTCACTAGTCACTCACTCTGTCACTAGTCATCCCCTTCCCTACTGTCACTAGTGACCCACTCCCTCTGTCACTAGTCACACCCTCCCTCACTCTGTCACTAGAGTGAGGGGGTGACTAGTGACAGAGGGAGGGGATGACTGGTGACAGAGTGAGGGACAGAGGGGGTGACTAGTGATAGAAGGAGGGAGGGAGTAGTGACAGAGGGAGGGGATGACTGGTGACAGAGTGAGGGACAGAGGGGGTGACTAGTGATAGAAGGAGGGAGGGAGTAGTGACAGAGGGAGGTGATGACTAGTGACAGAGTAAGGGAGCTGGTGACTAGTGACAGTCACCACCTCCCTCACTCTGTCACTAGTCACGCCTTCCTTCCCTCACTCTGCCACTAGTCACCCCATCACTCTAGTGACAGAGTGAGGGAGGGTATGACTAGTGACAGTTAGGCAGGGAAGGGGTGACTTGTGACAGAGGGAGGGGTGACTAGGGACAGAGTGAGGGAGGTGGTGATTAGTGACAGAGGGAGGAATGAGGTGACTATCACTGTGTCACCCCCTTCCTCACTCTGTCACTAGGCACCCACTCCCTCCCTCACTCGGTCACTAGTCACCCCCTCTCTCACTCTGCCACTAGTCATCCCTTCCCTCACTCTGTCACCAGTCATCCCCACACTCTATCACCAGTCACCCCTTCCTTCCTTCACAGTGACAGAGTTAGGGAGGGAGTGACTAGTGACAGAGAGAGGGATGGGGTGACTAGTGACAGAGTGTGGAAGGGGGTGACTAGGGACAGAGGGGGTGATTAGTGACAGAGAGAGGGAGGGTGTGACTAGTGACAGAGTGAGGGAGGGAAGGGGTGACTAGTGAGAGTGAGGGAGGTGGTGATTAGTGACAGAGGGAGGAATGAGGTGACTATCACTGTGTCACCCCCTTCCTCACTCTGTCACTAGTCACCCACTCCCTCCCTCACTCGGTCACTAGTCACCCCCTCTCTCACTCTGCCACTAGTCATCCCTTCCCTCACTCTGTCACCAGTCATCCCCACACTCTATCACCAGTCACCCCTTCCTTCCTTCACAGTGACAGAGTTAGGGAGGGAGTGACTAGTGACAGAGAGAGGGATGGGGTGACTAGTGACAGAGTGTGGAAGGGGGTGACTAGGGACAGAGGGGGTGATTAGTGATAGAGTGAGGGAGCGGGTGACACAGTGACAGAGTTAGGGAGGGAGTGACTAGTGACAGAGAGAGGGATGGGGTGACTAGTGACAGTCACCCCCTCCCTCCCTCTGTTACTAGTCACTCCCTCACTCTGTCACCAGTCATCCCCTCACTCTGTCACCAGTCACCCCTTCCCTCCCTCACTCTGCCACTAGTCATCTTTTCCCTTCCTCACTCTGCCACTAGTCACCCATTCCCTAACTCTGTCACTAGTCACCCCCTCTCCCTCCCTATGTCACTAGTCACCCCCACTCACTGTGTCTCCCCCTCACTCTGCCACCACTCAACCCCTCCCTCCCTCACTCTGCCACCTGTCACAACCTCCCACACTCTGCCACCTGTCACAACCTCCCACACTCTGCCACCTGTCACCTTCTCCCTCACACACTGTCATCTGTCACATATGCATTCACACAGACACTATATACAAAAAAGCACATGTAGTCATCCCGACATGCACAAGTGCATTCACACAGACTCAAATACAAACATGCATTGATACACAGGTCTTCACAATACACACATCCAAAGGAATGCTGTATTATTAGTTATATTTAACATTTATTTAATGCACATATATTTGGCCTTCAAAGGGCCTGGGATCTAATTTTGCCCGGGGGCCCCAAAGGCTCTCAGTCCGTCCCTGCTTATGGCTTGACTGGTGTGCAGATTTTTGTTTAAAGGGACACTATAGTCACCAGAACAACTACAGCTTATTGAATTTGTTCTGGTGAGTAGAATCATTACCTTCAGGATTTTTGCTGTAAACACGGTCTTTTCAGAGAAAATGCAGTGTTTACATTACAGCCTAGTGATAACTTCACTGGCCTCTCCTCAGATTGCTGTTAGAGATCCTTCCTGGGTCATGACTACCTAAAATGCATCCAAACATTCAGTGTCTCCTCCCTCTGCCTGCAGACACAGAACGTTCCTCATAGAGATGCATTGATTCAATTCATCTCTATGAGGAGATGCTGATTGGCCAGGGCTGTGTTTCAATCATGCTGGCTCTGCCCCTGATCTGCCTCTTTGTCAGTCTCAGCCAATCCTATGGGGAAGCACTGTGACTGGATCAGGCCACCACTTCTGATGATGTCAGCAGACTGTTTGTTTTTCTGAGTCTAACAGCATGCAGAGTTAGAGCTTCTGGCTTGAATACAGTAAGATTTTTACTATATTTATGGAGGCATGAGGGGCCCGGGGGGCTAGATGGTGGTTTTAACACTATAGGGTCAGGAATACATGTTTGTGTTCCGAACCCTATAGTGATCCTTTAACATTGTATTGACTATCCACAGACTTCAGGTGGAAGGGTTTTTCAATCACAATTTTCCCCACCATAACATATTTTGGTTTTTGCTTCGCAAGTACAGCCGAGCCACACTAGCAAACCAGTAACCAACCTCATGCTGATGATTTGCATTAACAATGAAACAGCTGTCCATGAGTGGTTTACTGGCTTTGCATCTTTTCCTAAGTTGTGTTTTAAAGCTGTTGTATACAGCAAACACAGACTCAAAGGAATCCATGTTTAAAATGGAATGAGGCAAAAATGTGATTCTTTGTTGAACTAAGATGTATTCCTAATGATAGAGCAGGCATAGGCAACCGTCGGCACTCCAGATGTTTTGGACTACACTTCCCATGATGCTTTGCCAGCGATATGGGTGCAAGAGCATTATGGGGTATGTAGTCCACAACGTCTGGAGTGCCGAATGTTTCCTATCCCTGTGATAGTGTCATGACTTTGAATGTTTTTCTCTATTATTTTCGACTAAAGTTCTTAATTCTGTTTACAATTCACTGTTTAGTTAATACACCTTTAAGTGTTTGGGGTATCAGGTCACAAGGGAGCTATTTTGGTTTGTCCCATGCTCGGTTTAACCCTTTCAGTAGGACCGATGACCCAAAATAAATGATTTATGAGCATGGCCTGGGATGTACTGCATCACATGTAGACAAAACATTAGATTGACACAGACTACGTCAGAGACACGGAGCCTGGTGACATTGCACGTTGCAGGTATTGGGTGTAAGTAAATTCTATCCGTGTCACAAGATATGCTGTGTTTATCTTGTGACCGCTGAAGGCGTTTGTCTAGGTTCTCCTATTTTCCATAACCATAATCTTCTGTGGAAGGGATTGATATCACAAGTAGTGCTTCCTTTTACTTTGTTAAACAAATCATTTTTTCTACACTCGGCTAAATGAGATCACGGGATTTATTCACTAAATAGTGATTCCACAATATACCTTTTTCTGCTGTGTGCCTTAAATTTATAAGATATATTTATCTATTTTGGATTATTATTTTTTATCTCCAAAAGGATAAGACCAAAACTATATATTTTCATTTGGGGTATATCTAAACACAGTTTGCAAAACCTGCAGATCTCTTGTCTGCAGCCTTTTCAAGCCCTTGCCTTCTTTCCCACCCCAGAGTAGAGATTTATGCTTTTTTTTTTTTTGCAAGGCAGCAGCTCTTCATTGACCTAAACAACCAGGAAGTAACAGAACCGGTGGTCTGATTGACAGCCTGGGGGGTGTTACCAGGTTAATTTATAAAAGTGCCAATTTCTAGTGAAATCGATGCTTTCTGTAAAATGGAAAAAACAGGACACATTCCTTATAAAGCAATTCAAGAGCTAAAGTGTTTTAGGTGTGTGAAGTGTCCCTTTCATTTTACCAGTTTCTATAACTCACTGTTTAGTGAACAGACACCTCACTGCAATGAAGATATGGATGATAGTATATCCCAGGGTTATAGTGGAACTGTTGCATCTCTAAAAGTAATAATTCCTCGTTTCGAACCTTTAAAGCATGTACAGGGGGAGGAATGGAGCAACACACTTCTACAACAATTCTGTGTCTATGCCAATGTCACCGTCTCGTAGTGCTCAAGACATGATCATGAATCTGCAGAGGAATGCCACGTGAATCCATGTTTGCCTGGGATATTCTTCCATAGTGCTATTTGAGCATATAGCTATCCTGTAACAGACAGAGAACAGCATGCAAATTAGACCATACAAATAGCTGTGGCTTGTGCAATGTTTCTTTTCCTCTTACTAACATTTAGTTAAAGGAACACTCTTACCACCATAGACAATACTGCATGCTCACTGAAGTGGTTATAGTGCTAGGAGTGTTCTCCCGTCCCCCTCCCGTAAGCAGACAAACTTTTTTTTTTTTTTAGATCAGTTTGATTTCTTACCTGGGGCCTTCCAGGCGCAAGTCTCTTCCTCCATTACAGCCAAGGATTGCCGGAGCTCCTGCTCCTTCCGTTAGGTCTCCTGAGCTAAGCCCTGCAGTGTAGGCATAGCTCATTGGCTTACTGCCAGCTGATCACTCTCAGCCAATGAGCTTCCAACTCAGCCTGACTTCTTAGATCCCCACATCCACTACTTCAAAAGTTTTAAAACAGAGCACTTACAATAAGGGGAGCGCCAGGGCACCATAACTGCTACAGCGTGCTGTAGTGGTTATGGTGACTGTAGTATTCCTTTAACAATTTTTAAGGACAGCTCAAGTTGGACATTTCCTCATATCTAGTGTTTCAAATACTGATACTACCCCTACCCCCTTCCGTTTTTTTTTTGTTTTTTTAACCCAAGATATTTATTTTGAACATATTTAATGCATTGTAAAAATATTGCATGAAAAAGGTAGAGGTGATATTTTAAATCCAATATTTCAAATTAAAAATAGATATTTGTCCCCCCCTGCTTTCTTTCTTTTTAACGATTATTCCCAATTAAATATAATTGAATCATTTAATATGTTACATTTAAAAAATCCATAATTTGCAGGTAAAATCCACGCTTTGTATATGAAGCATATATCGGAGATGATTATATAAATACATTATGTATCTGTTTAAGTAGTGAGGAATTTAACACCCAGCTAGCGTGACGCACTGATGCTGGGATTATTCTATCGGTACAGATCTTTCCTGTCAGTGACGTCACTAGGCTTTCCTCGGTCACGTGCCTGGGATTGCTGATGAGCATTTGTTATGGTGTTAGCAGGACAGGCTGCCAACAGCTAGCTCAGCAATAGAAGCAGCAAGGGGGAGACAGGCAGGAAGACGATGAGTGTCCGTTCTGCACGTAACATTCAATAAAAACAATTACGAGAGGGGAGACGGGGGACTGGAGTGAATAGCCCAGCCAATGCACATAACATTATGGATTGAACTGCTACGTATTCAAAGCGAATTTCAAATTTAAGACCAAAGTTGCAGAATGTAAACTTTATTCACCAAACTTGTAAACCAGGCTACATTACCTGACAATCTCTCCAGCAATCCTAAATCACAGCTTGGCTCGATTTACAGAAATGTACTAACTTTTTGGCAGGTCCTACTCTGTAGAAAACGAATGACCGGTCTTATGAGATTAACCCACTTTCCTGAGACACGCACACTATTCAGCCTTGAACTGTAGAGAACCCAGAGAGGACAGATGCCCCACGTAAGAGTGTTTATGTCAGAGCAGTCATTAGTTGGTAAAGAACTAATATGGGGGGCATACACCAAGAAGTCCTTACAGGGTCTTTTACTAAACTGAGAATTCAAAGTGAATCTCTTATTTATAGGAAACTTACTGTTAGGAACAGTGGCGTACACACAATCCATTGGGCCCCGGTTTGAAACTGCTCCGTGGCCTCCCCCCCCCGCCTCTCTCCCCCGATCCGTGGGCCCCCCGAAACATACATAGACACAAACATAGACACAAACACATACACAGAGACAGACATACAGAGATACACACATATATATATATATATATATATATATATATATATATACACACACACAAAAAAAATTCTTCCTACCTTTTGTTACTTTCCCTGGGGTCCAGTGGGGGCTCAGCCTGATCCCTCTTCCTTCCTGCTTCCTCCACGCGGGCTGATAGCTGGGAGGAGTGACCGGGGAGTCACTTCCTCCCAGCAGTGATGTCATCACAGGGGGCCCGGTAGCGCTGTTAAAGCGCCCAGCGCTGTCCGGGCCCCCTGACAATCCATGTCCATCGGGTGGCCCTGACAGCATGGGCCACCCAATGGACCCCTTAACATGCGGCCCCGTTTACCTCGCGGGCCAGGGGCCGCAAAATGTGGCAGCTGGTACCTAGTCGTGGGGGTCCACAGGGCGGCTCGGCCCCCTGAAGTGACGGACCCGGTCACAGCTGCGACCCCTGTGACCGCGTTATGTACACCGCTGGTTAGGAATACAAAACTGTATTCCTAACATTTGTGTCCCTTTGCCTCAACGGAACCCTTTCTATACAACGGCAATGTTTTACATTGCAGGATTAAGGGGACAGGTACACTGCACCCAGATCACTTCAATGAGATAAAGTGCTGTGGGTGAATATAGTGTCCATTTGAGGCCAGACTATCTGAACTGAAGGCACAGCAGACAGATCATTTTTTCTTTGACTATTTTGACCGAAAATTTGAAATTCAGTTTGAATTCTTACTTTAGAGACAAACCCTGTCCTTCCACAAAACTCAGCCATGAGACTGCACATTTAAAATAATCTTATAGGGGTGAGGTAAGATCTAAAAAGCATTTTATGCAAATCAAGGTGGAGGCTGTCGTATCTTAGATGTCAGACCAATAACACACCTCATTAGGAGAACCCAAGTCCCACTCGCAAGCATTAAAGGGACACTCCAGGAACCCAGACCACTTCTGCCCATTGGAGCGGTCTGGGTGCCAACTCCCACTACTCTTAACCCTGCAAGTGTAATTATTGCAGTTTATTATAAACTGCAATAATTACATTGCAGGGTTAACTCCACCTCTAGTGGCTGTCTACAGGAAGTGCTAGAAGGACCTCCAGGGACAGTACAATATTTTAAAGGGACACTGTAGGGACACTAGAAGGGACACTGTAGGCAGCCAGTCTGGGTACAGTGTCCGTTTTGCACATAGTGCTGCAATGTAGAACATTGGAATTCCATATTAATGGCAATGTTTACATTGCAGCTTTAAGTCTGCCCTCGGTGGCTGTCTACCAGACAGTCACTAGAGGGCTTCCTGAATTGAAACAACCCTTTGGTGCCATATCTGATTCAATGCTTTCCTATAGGGCAGCATTTGCCGCGCATTAGGCCAAGCTAATTGAGAGACGGAGCGTCGACGGACATCGGCACTGGGATAAGGCAAGTAAGGGGGCGTTAACCCTTTATTTACTGGGGAGGGGGGAGGCAGAGGGATCTTTAGTGCCAGGAATATAGCTTGTATTCCTGGCACTACAGTATCCCTTTAAACTGATTGTAAACAGTCAAGAAATCCAAAGCGTTCCCTTCCTTTTCCAACGAACATCCTTAGATCACACGGGACTACTAAGGACCTTCAGGATAGGACTTCAGAAAGTAAACTTTAGCCACAGGCTGGCTTCTCAGGAAGAGAATGTTTTGCCAGAACACAGACATGTGAGCAGTTTAACAATTTAAATTACCTTGTAATGACTCACTGCAGCCAGTGAGTAAGAGGAAACTGGCACAAGGAGAACAAAGCAGGAAAATAAAAAAAACACTACAATTAAATTCAATTCTGCAAATTCCCATTTACCTCTTCCAATCGCTTCACATCCTGCACCCTGAATGAAGAGCCCAATGTCTCAGTCGAAATGTTTACCCACTAAATCATGTGTAGATATAATGGAATTCTGAAAATAAATGTTTAGAATCGGCCATAGAACTACATCCATTTAATAACATATCAGCTGTATTAAATCAGTCATTGGACTAACTTGGAAAAGTCTTCCTGGAGGATTCTAGTAGAGCTCATCGTGCTGTGCACGATCATTTTAGAGCCCAGTGTCTAGTTTAACAGATGATTTACTAAAGCAGAAACAAAGGCCAAAATAGACAGACAGGAAACATACATGAATTTAGGCAATTTTCAGATCGGCTATTTTCACCTCAAAATTATTTACTAAAGTGACAATTATAATTATAATTATTTTATTATTTTATAGTGCCAGCTAATTCCGTAGCGCTGTACATTGGATGGACTAACATATGTAATTGTAACCAGACAAATGGACGCACAGGAACAGAAGGGTTGAGGGCCCTGCTCGATAAGCTTACATGCTAGATGAAGTGGGGTATAGTGACACATTGGGTATAAGTAGGGGGTAAAAAAATAGGTTACTAGAAAAGTATTTGCTTGGAACTTATTTTTGACAGTTGCAAAAGAGGAGTCATCGGGGGAGGGGGGCAATGAAAACCCGCTAATAGTTTAAATGATCTGCTTTCCTAAAGAAGTCTGTTTTCAAAGATTTTTTGACTAGATGAAAGTCTAACGGAGAAGGAAAGGGAGTTCCACAGAAAAGGTGCAGCCCTGGAGAGGTCTTGGAGGCGAGCATCATATGTGGGAGTACAGACAGAGGATAGGCATAGGCCTTCGGCAGAGCTCAAGGGCCTCAAATGAACATTTGTGTATTAGGGAGGATAGGTAGGTTGGAGCAGCATTATATAGGGACTACGCAAGCACCAGAATCTTAAAATGAGCCCTATATCTCACTGGAAGAGACATAGGTAAGAAACAGTCTGTGAGCCCTGTGTGAATGTAGTGAATGCGTTAATCCCCAATATACGTGATGACCACAAAGGGGTGTACCCCTTGTCAAAAGACTATGTGAGTATTTTAGAAAAGCCAACCATTAGCTGGCAGGGTGGAGGAGGCGGTAGAGAAATATAATAGTGTGGCAACTCTGTATGGAGGTGCGCTTAGCATTGGTGGTGTAATTTGAAAGCTTACGTTTGCAGAGAGTTCGCTGTGCGTGCATATAAGACTATCATAACGAGGGGCGGCGCCTGGCTTCCGAGGAAGATGGCCGCACAGGGTTAGAGCTCCACGAGAAGCAGGCACACAATAGCGATCTATAGCGACCGCACACTCTCACCAAAGTCCCGGGACACGAAGCACCAAGCTCCAGCAGCGCAGCTCACCATGGGGGGGGGCAGGAAATCTAAGTCTAACACGGCGGTCGCCCCGATCTTCCGAAGCCGCGGGGAACAAGACCGCCCACGTGGTAATGGCGGCAACGACGGTCAGGACTCTGAATCAGAGTCAGAGCTCAGCGACCACAGCCACACACAAGACCAGGGTCCCCTCACTAAAAGGGACCTGCAAAGCCTCCTCCAGGACATCAAGTGCAACATAGCAGCTGAATTTGCAAAGCATCTAGCTCCACTGAAAGAAGAAATGGCAGACCTGACTAAACGAACCTCAGATATAGAAGACAGCATGGAACAGGTCACTTCAACCTCTACCACGCAAGCACAAACTATTCTAGAATTAAAAGAGCAAGTCAAAGCCCTTGAAGATGCACAAGAGGATTTGAATAATCGCTTGAGGAGAAACAATATCAGAATAAGGGGGATCCCTGAATCGGTCACCATGGAAACCCTAACGGTCACATTACGAGAAACCTTATGCGGCCTCTTACCTGAAGCGCCTCCGGCAGAGTTACTCATGGACAGAGCACATAGAGCCCTGAGAGCACCAGCCCTAAGCACTACTCTACCTAGAGATGTAATAGTGCGCATGCACTACTTTCATGTCAAAGAAGCCATTATGAGAGCAACACGGGACACACCGCTCCAAATTGAAGGCCACCTGGTCCAATTCTTCCAGGACCTGACCCCAAACACTTTGCGCAAACGGAGGGAACTGCGGCCCCTGACCCAAGCACTGACGCAGCAATGAATTAGATATGCCTGGGGCCACCCGTTCAAACTTCTGGTACGTAAGGACAACCAGACGTTTACCCTCCACCACCCGTCAGAAATGACAGACTTCGCAGAACAACTCGGGATCTCAGGTCTGGACCACGGACTCCACCAGTCACAGAGTAGAGCACCTCCAAATAGACGCAGAGGTCCTGGAGGGCCCACAGAATATAGAGACTAGCTCTAGCCCTGCAGACACACCAGCCGCCAGCCACCAGCCCACAGCCCGACCCTCTCTGCCCGGCTACCTAGAAGGCAACGACAGCCCGCACTCGTCATCTGGCCACCTGCACAACGCCTGGTTCATAGAATAGAGGTGCCTCTTCACACATAATGAAAGACTCTACACTACCAGACAGCGCAACCAGAGACAGAGGCGAGCCAGGAGATAGCAAGTATACAGGGGACCCCACCCATCCAGAAAGACTACTATCCAAAGGGGAAACCCCACACTTTAACTTAATACACTCCCCCCCACCCCCCCGAGGGGGGAATGGGGCCCCCTGACATCTAGCCACACCAAGTACCACGCTAAATATAATTGGGGACCGGGCCTGACTTCCCCGGCCGGGAACACATGAACCCCAGCACTCTACCTACACCACAGAGCCATACCGCATGCATCTGAGGGCTGGGCGCCCCGGTAGATCCAGGACAGAATTGTGTTTCATAGCACATTGATATGCTGTACCCAGTCAACCAGGGACTCTGGAGATATGAGGTCCAGACATTGAAGCACAAACCCAACAATGCCCGTCACAATCAAATGTGTGTCGATTAACGCACAGGGACTCAACTCCCCCTCCAAAAGGCACAGTCTTCTGAGATGGGCCTACAAGCTCAAAACAGATATACTTTTTGTGCAAGAGACCCACTTCACTGCCCAGAGAACATTCACCCTAACCAATAGATACTACAACCGAAGCTATCTCGCAAGCTCGCCAAACACAAAAACAAAAGGGGTGGCCATTCTAATACGCTCATCTTGCCCGATAACAGGCATACACAGCACCGCAGACCCCCAAGGCCGCTTTCTCACTATAACAGGCTACATAGGGACCAATCAATACGCATTTAGCACCATATATGCCCCGACCACGTCAGAACCTAATTTCTGGGCTCGACACACCTACGGGTGTACACCAACGTACCGATAATCATGCAATGCAGTCCACACCCCGGCAGTCGATCGACAACACCAAACCAGAACACAACCGAATAGAAATGACACCCTCTTTGCCAACTTTCTAGCTACCCAACCATTAATAGATATTTGGAGAGCCCAGCACCCGACCGAGAAGGACTTTACCTTCTACTCACACCCACATGCTTCATATTCACGCATAGACCAATTTCTAATTTCACCAGGACTACTCTCCCACATAACAAATACCACCATAGGAACGATAGCATGGTCAGACCATGCTGACATCACACTCACCTTAAACATACCCCACCTCAAAAAGCACTGGACGTGGAAGCTCAACCCACTCCTCCTACACGACACAGCACTCAAAACAGAAATCTCAAAACACCTCACAGACTATTTTGAACTAAACTCCGCAGCAGACATCTCACCAATTTCCATATGGGCAGCCCACAAAACAGTCATCAGGGGACACCTGATTAGCCTAGCATCGGCCAAAAAAAGACAGGCAACAAAACCTCTTAAATGCCCTAGCGGACCTCCGACGCTTAGAAACAGAACACAAACAACGCCCGCTGCCGTCCACTCTAGCCCAACTGACAGACATATGGCGACAAGTGAAACAACGTACACGGCAAAAGCCATGATGTGGCTTAAGCAAACATACTATGAAAAAAGTAAAGCAGACGCGATGTTAGCACGCCGCCTGAAACACAGAATAGAAGCTAAACAAATACACAAAATACGGACCCAAGCAGGACAATTAAGCAACAACCCAGACAGAATAGGAGAAACATTCCACAGCTATTTTGCGGCCCTTTACAACCATTCCCCTACACCGAAGGGAACAGGATACAGACGAAACGGCCATGACCGACTTAGTCGATAAACTGAACCTCCCCCACCTTGACCGAGACCGCCCGAGTCACACTAGCTAGCAACAGCATTTAAATCCTTCAAACCCAACAAAAGCCCAGGCCCAGACGGTTATACAGCCATATATTATAAAGAATACAGCCACCTCCTACTACCGCACCTCACACGGGTCTTCAACGCCCTCCTGCGGGGAGAGACACTACCAACCGACATGACAACAGCACACATTTGCCTAATACCGAAACCCAACAAAGACCATACACAACCCGAACACTTCAGACCGATTTCTCTCCTTAATGTGGACCTCAAAATCCTTACCAAAGTAATGGCCAACTGACTGAACCCCTTCTTAGAACAGATAATACACCCAGATCAGGTGGGGTTCATCCCCAATAGACAAGCCTTAGATAACACTCGCAGAGCCATAGACCTGATCTGGGTAGCACAGCACAGACAGATCCCAATGAGTGTCATTTCACTTGACGCCGAGAAGGCGTTTGATCGCCTTCTCTGGCCATACCTCTACTACACTCTTGAAAGATACAACTTCCCAAATAACTTCATTACCTTCTTGAAAGCTATGTACCACACACCACAAGGTGCCCTCATACTCCCTAATATCAACCCACCACGCTTCACTAGTGCGAACGGAACAAGACAGGGATGCCCTCTTTCACCCATACTATTTGAGATCTCGCTGGAACCCCTGATGCAAGCAATACGCACCGACCCAGACATAAAAGGACTTCAAATAAGGGGAGAAGTCTTCAAAGTAGCAGCGTACGCGGACGACGTCCTGCTAACGCTCACCGACCCCGAAACATCAATAGCGGCCCTACTGACCCCTTAATACAAACATATTCCACGCTGAGTGGCTATAGACTCAACATCGCAAAGTCGGAACTACTACCACTAAATATAACAGAGGCAAGATTGCAACACATCCAAAACCTATTCCGAGCACGCACCTGCCCCGATTCCATTACATACCTGGGAATCCAACTTACAAGTGACTTGACACGCCTATACGAGGCAAACTACAAACCCATACTTCACCAGGCCCGCGAGGACCTGAGAAGATGGCAACCACTAGGGATATCATGGCTGGGCAGGGTAACCTCAATTAAAATGAATCTCCTGCCCAGATTCCTTTACTTGTTTCAAACCCTGCCCATCCCTGTCCACAAACAGGATCTTAAAACACTCCAAAAGGAAGTGGATTCCTTTGTCTGGAACGGCCAAAAGCCACGGGTGCAAAAGTGGCCTAGGACTCCCAAACTTCACACATTATCTGACAGCAACACGCCTGGCCCAAATACAACAGTGGCATCTCCCACCGGGTAAAAAATGATGGGTAAATGAGGAGTAGTAAAGAATAAAAAAAAAACAAAAAAAAAAAAAAAGACTATCATAACATATGTCATATCTGAATATTAGTCCAATAGACTGTGCAAGGAAATAATTAAAACCGAGGAGATAAAAAGAAAGAACAAAACAAACAAAATAAATCTCTAACAGTGGTAAACATGTTGAGTGTGAATGATGGAATTGAGAGCCCCCTTGAGTGGGCCAGCCTCAGTTTCCTCAGTAGGGTGGCCTGGCAGGTGAGGTTCTCTGGATTTCTGAGTAAATTCCCGAATGTTAGCCGGGTTCAGCCAGGACAGTCCTGTTCCAGTTGTTGGTGAGGCTTGCAGTATGCCTGCTGATTTTAGGTGTGATTTCAGCTCCTGACAACCTTGTGCACTGTAGAAAGTCCTGTTGTGAGTAAACAATATAGCTTGTGGCGTTCCCCATCTGAAGGAAATCTCTCTGGCACGGAGCGGTTGCAGTGCTTTAAGTCAGGTTACGGTGCTCTTGGTGAGGTCTGGGAATACGGTTAGCGAGGTGCCCTCAAACAGCAGGGGAGTTTTCCCCTTCAGAGCGGCCAGGAGCGATGCTTTATCCGAAAGGGTTTGGAATCTAGGTATGAGGTCTGCAGTTGCCGACATCCTTGTTGGCAAGGAGAACCTTATATAGTAAGGTAGATCGGGGAGGTCGACCGACTCTCATAACCCCCGTACTTTCAGGTTATAACGTCTTCTCTGATCTTCTATTGTATCTAGCCTATCTGTTGTGGCGATCTGCTGCTGTCCTAGGTCTGCTACCTGCTGTTCCACCTTGGTGAGTCTGGTGTTGTGGGTACCTGAGCAGCCCTTCAGCGGTGTGATTTTTGACTCAGCCAGTTTGTAGTATCCGCCACCAAATCTTTGCGTAGCTCCGACCAGCATCTTTTTGAGTTGGTCCGCAGTGACTATGTCCCCAGCTTTCTGCAGTCTGGCATGGGCCCGAAGGATACTCCCTCCAGGAGCTCCGAGGCAAATTCATCCGAGGTGTATGAGGAGAGATCGTCAGCTAGCGCCATTTTGAACCACATGGCCAGCTGCGTATTCCGCAGCATGTCTCCGATCTCTGCGCCATGGAAGCTTTTTCCTGCTTTCGCTTTTTGTTTTGCGGCCCATGGTCTACCTGTTGACAGTAGTGAGGTTTGTGGGGTCTTCTAGGCTTGGATTCCACCATATAAAGCTTAGTTTGAGCAAGTTAAAGCCAGAGCTCAGAGAAGTGCAACCGCTTCGCTGTCCTGCTAGCTCCGCTAGTTTTAACACTATAGGGTCCGGAATACATGTTTGTGATCCTGACCCTATAGTGTTCCTTGAAATCATTTTTGTTTCTGTTTATGTGATTGACAGCCTGCATGAAATCAAAATGGTTTCATTTTAAATCAGAAATTAATTTTTTTATCTCCAGCTCTGTAAATTGAGCTTTAATCACACACAGGAGGCTCCAGCAGGGTATATCAAGCTATTAACAGAGCGCAAGAATAAATTCTAAATTAAACAGAATTTGCAATAAAAAGAAGTATAAACATTAGCTGTCTCTTTACAGAAAGGAATTAGGAAGGCTGTGCAAGTCACATGCAGGGAGTCATGACTTCAGCTACTCCAGGCATCATAACCACTACAGGGTGCTCCTGCTGAGGAACATGTTCACTTTTGACTTAAAGCGCAAAATAGGCCAGAATCAGAATCATACTCAGCCAATGAACCAAGTCCGCATTTCCAGGTTTAGCTCAGAGAGCTTCTACCTTTCACTGAGCAGTAGTGGAGGTGTGAAGCTGCGTACAGAAGACCCAGTTAAGGTCTAACTGTCCAAAAGAATGAGTTTGACCATTTACAATATGGGGAAGGAGGGGGTACCACCAACATGCTCTAGTTGCTATGGTGCTGACTGGCGGACTCATCTGGAGCGACAAGGTCATTACTTCAGTATTCTTAACCTGATAGTCAAGGGCATATTTTCTTTATCAGCATTATTATTATATTATTTATATAGCGCCAAATTCCGTAGCGCTGTACATTAAAGCTTTTCAAATATAAAGCATAGATATAAATGATTCAAACTCCAAACACCACATCTGACCATCGCATGCTGTCATACTAATTTGTATTGGTTGGGTGCATAAGCTAGCCCTGAGGGATGTGCTGGTGTGATGCAAGGGTGAAGGACGTGCAATTTCTAGCCAAAGAAGGAATTCTCAGGTAAGAACAACTCCCTTCAAGTTACAGATTAACAGACTTCTTCCAAGGCAGCAGCTAGTTTCTGAGACGATCCGGTTTTGAGCAGGAATGACTGGAGCATTGTCTTGAGGCATGTACGGTACTCAGATTGTACTTCTCAGAACAGATTTAATAACCACCACCCAAAAACACAAATACTCAAGATTTACCACAATATAAACAACTTTATTAAACGGATTCAAGTACAAGCACTTATGGCAAGAACTATACAGATTCCGTTTACAACAGGCAGGTTTAGTATTGACGCAGAGTCTTTTTTTGCATTGATTTTTGCTCAGAAATTGCTAGACACATTCAGAATGTTTGGGAGCAGCAGAACTGAATAAAACGATCTAACAGGCAATAACAGCAGGTTGCAATGGACACCATTACAATGTTACTTTGTAGATTGAGGTCAGACTTTTTAAAAGGGATGCTAAACATATTTAACTTTGTTCTTTAATAGAAGTAAAGAAGTTGTCAGCAATTAAGACTTGCAAATAATTGGCAACCTCGTAGCTTATTAGGATCGATTTATATATTTAAAGTGTCAGTGTTTCTAGACATTTATCTGCAGTTTCCCACAAGAATAAAATTATTGGGTGTGGATAGACATTTCCCAGGTGGATGAATGGTTAGGTTTTACTGAAGGAAGGTGTGTGACATTAGGATATAGACTGAGCAAGACGTATCAGCACATAGTCAACCTAAGGGATATGCAAGATTAATCAGGGCAAAATTAAATTGTAAATATACAGGACCTCTGATAATGTAACTGAGGGGACCAAATGATGGTGAAAGCTCTGCATTCCAATCATTAAAAGCAGCCATTGGGATCAAGAACCCAACTAGTAATATGAACATTAATGAAATTGGACGAGCTAGAATTAAGAGGAACATAATGAAGCCGGGAGAACTGTGTAAAGCACCAAACCAACTCACTAGAATAGCAAAAATATTCTACTGTTTAAAGTGCAAAGTATCTTTGTGAGGTCTGAACTGTGCAGCGTAAAAACATCCCCTGCACTCAATGACCTTGCTTACTCAGGTACTGACGTCAAGTGACCTCAGACTTTAATCTCTATTGCAATTGGCAGAAGGATTAAAGTCCGCAGTTTCAAAAGGGAAAGCTTCATTTTAGGAAGAACATTAGAGCAGAGGTACTGTACCGACTGCCTACAATCAGATCAGACACACGTAATCTCAGTGGATTACTCTAGCATAATAAAAAAAAAAAAAAATTAGTAAAAAAAATTAAAAGGCCACAATACTTTAGTTATAACTATAATATCTGTAAAAATAGCAATGTTATTTTTCTTTAAATAAATAGAATAAATATACAGGCAAGGCAGTAAAAACAAGACAAATATTAGGAATGTTAGAAATAATGTTCCACTTGGACACCGATACTGTGCAATAACCAGACTTATATGCTGTACAATTTTTTGTTTGGCCTTTATGGGGAAACCAGAACAGTGTAATTTCTGATCTCCCAATTGCTACAAGGCTGCATTCTGCGGCCAGCTGTCTCAGTGCCAAGGAATCACAGCAGAGCTTCAGGGCAGAATTTCTGTCAGCCTGCAGGACACGTTTTCAAGGTGTTCCTACATAGAATAAAGGTGTTTTAAAGAGTATGGAAATGGCAGATCCATCTGTGTTAAATGAATGGGCCTATCAAAAGAAAAGCCCACATCCAACCGCACATTAAGTGGCAAGTAAAATAATTACTTCTATAAAAGGAAACCATTTAATGGAACTTTAGAACTTGCACTGTCCCAGGAGTCCTGGAGGCCAACAGATCCCATGGTCAAGCAACTTTGTAACTTGCACCAGTAGACGCCTGTACATTTTTGATCAGCTGCATTTAGTAAATTATTTGTACTCCAGCGCAGGTTCCACAAAAAGTATTTGTAGGACTTGCGTTGGAGCAACTACAAACCAAAAAAACAGATAAAGGAAGGGATGAGATTTTGTAAAACAAATGAGCCATTAAACTTAAATCAAAAAGAAAAAAAAATGTAAACAATGCTCCAGCTTGGAAGAAGCTACTGGACCCCATTGTACAGGGGTGGAATGAAAGCAAGGGTCAGATTGGGCCGAGAGTTCGTAGAGCTCCGATGCACAGTCTCACTTCCTTCTGTTCGTGGATTATCACAGCTTTACTCCATCAGTCTTAGTGTTCAATGCATTCACAGAATGAAGACTGGACTTTTCACATCCAGGGAGTTAACAACCCAAGATTGCAGTCTATGGTCAGACAATTGCTTTCCGCTCCTTCACATCATCGGGATGTCACCCCAAGTGTGAGCTTCAGATTCTCATATACCACATAGCTGATGCTGACCGCGGGTATAACCTTCATGAAATTAGGGGCAAGACCCCGATACAGTCCAAAAGCCCCCTCAGTCTTTATGATGTGCTTAAAGAGGTTGCTCATTGAGGATTGAGGAGCACCCTCAACTGAAGCTACAAAACAAAAAGAGAATTCAATAAGTGATCCACGTCTGAGTAGTAATTACTGGATAAACTGCAACATCACAATCCACATTTATATAGGTTTACAAATTACTGGCCATTTTTAGTAAATCTTTACACACTCATACTGGACCATGGACAGAAAGGAAAAAAATATATATATTTTTTTTTTACTTGAACCATCACTACAATCTCACCTTGTGCCTGCATTCGTGTTCTGACCAGAGCCAGGGGGTAGCTAGCCAGCTGTCCACACGTGCTGGATATTGTCCCACATGCCAGCAAGACAAAGACCCCAGGATCAGCACTGCTCGTGGCATACCTCTGCAGCCAAGCATTTTTCAGAGTCTGTGGGGGAAGACGAGTAAGGACATTAGTGTCAAGTCATAAGATTAATGCAATTATCTATCGTTATGTGTGCCCAATATCCCTACATGCATTCCAGACAAGGGAAACTTACTTCATAAACCGCCAAATCAATGCCAGCATAAGGGATGATGCCCAACATATTGGGGACGTATCCTTTGTAAAAAGCAGATACTCCTTCCTTCAGCAGCATCTTTTTGCCGCAGTCCAGCATGCCCTGATATTGCCCAGTCTTGCGTAAGGCCATCCGAGTTTTCAGAACCTAGAGAAAGAGGAAGAAATTTTTTTTTCAAAAAAAAATGAACAGTATCAAATGACAATAAGCCGCCTGTGCCAAAATCCACATACACAAAACAATTATAATTAGAAACATCTATGAGACCCACACACCTCCATAGGATATATGCTACTTTGAGCAATCACACCAGCTAGAGATCCCGCAACAAGCCTCTCATGGATTCCAAGTGTTTCTTGGTCACTGCCAATAAAACGTTTAATCTGCAAGAAAAAAAAAAAAAAAAAGTTACAGTTTACACAGCACTAGGAAATGGCTCAATTGCTTTAATGTGCCTTTAACCGCACATTAAATTGAAGTTTATTAACTAAAAAGTCAAAACATTCACAAGCGTATGTATCACCTGCTCATATGCCATGAATTTAATTGCAGACTCGGGTCCAATTTTAATGACATTGATTCCGTTTCCTCTCCATAGTGAGCGCCATCCACCTTCGCGGAGCATGTGGGTGAAGCCTCCCACGATAGACATGTTGTTGCTGCGGGAAGCGTGCACCTAAAGGAATCGAGCACAAGACGACATGTGAGCAAAAGCTGAAGCTAATCCAGGTACAATGGGCTCCTAGATTGAAGGAAGAACATGTAATCTTAACAAGAATGTTTAATAAAGCCTTTAACTTCGCAACAACATGTACTCCGAGAAAAATACGGATGTCAGAGCTGCCAGTGCATCACAGCTGTAATACTTGTTCCAAAAATTTTTTCAAGGACGTACACAATTATCTCTAGAAGAACCGTGCTAGAACTAGTTTGGAGCAGTAATTACTCTGTGTGCTTGGGGATAGTGTCATAGGGCTGACACTACGGGGGCTTTGCGCAAAAAAAATAAATAAAAAAAAATATGGTTTGAGTTTGGAAAACACTAACAATACCGTGCTGGCACGCTTTGCTCATTAGCAAAAACACGTTGTCAACACGTTCCCATGCTAATACAATCTTTCACTAGTCAAACTAAGATCAGGAGTTAAGACAATCAATGACAAATATTGTGACAGGTTGTGGAGTCTCACCGACATTCAAACCATCTTTAACAATCAGCTCTAAAATACAGGAAACTGCTTGATAGTAGGCGTGCACAACCAAACAAAAAAAAAAACCCTAGCAATAAATAAAACACTACAGGGTTATTCACTAAAGAATTCAAACTGAATATCAAAGTATTGCCAAAAATAGCAGGATTGAAAAAAAATAAAAAAAATAAATTAAAATAAACAGTCAGCTTTACTTTCAGTTTGGCCATTTCAGCCTTAAATTTGAAATTTAGTTTAGCAAATAACCGTGAATGTGTCGTGAGAGTTTTAAAAGTTGGGGCAGGTATTGCGTATCAGCATGCGCCCCTTTCTGTGTAGACATGATTTATGCATATATGCATACAAACACAACGAATGTGTCACCTCTCGCTAAAAAAAGGTTAGAGCCAAGATATATTTGCCACAGCCAACTAGAGTTACAGTACTTTAGAAAGGCATGTGACAGTGGCTGTCGATGGCACACAAAGCTCCAGACAGATGTGATTACATTACACAGTGTTCATCCTGCCAAGGTGGACATTGGCCAGAAAGAACCTGGTTACATTTTCAGGGACATAACTACATTAACAAATAGACAACCTTTGCAGAACGAAGTCCACAATCTTAACCTTTTACCCATGTAATAAAGTTTGCACAATTCTCCTTTACAACGGATTGCAAAGTGTTGCGAAAGATTTGAATTTGCTTCAGTTAAGGACCCAACCTTTCGTGCTCACCAAAAATATAATTAATAAATTTAAAGATTAATGAGAAGTATATATACCTGCATGAGTACTTTCAGTCTGTCCAGAGGGGCTGTACAGGTTCGTGAGACGGCACCCGCTCCACCTCCAGCAACCAAGTGTCTCCACCACATCCCCGTTTGAATCTCCTCCACTGTAAATTCATCGGGTACAATCAGGTTCTCTCCTACATCAAATATCTGTATGGGAAGGAGAGAAATCTGATCATCTGTTTGACTTTGTGTTTCCAGCCAATAAGTGTAACCCATGCTTCTCAATACAAGTAGAACAGAGAACTGCTAAATCATGTGTTTTATAGGCAGATTCTTTTGTGGGGTTTGTCCATGCATTACATATCTGATTGCACAAGTCTGAATTTACATTAGGCTACAATACGCTGTGCACTGGTAGCTGCAGGCAGGTGGAATAAACCAGTATAGGCTGAGAAAAACCAGCCACACGCAGAATCCTTTTTTTGTAAAAGATCTTTAAGGTTTGCCCCTTAACTACCTACAATTACCATAATCAGTGCCCACTAACCAGTGCAAAGTAATTTCTAGCAGCGTGAACTACAAATAAATGTTATGGATTCTTACGGTAGAATGTTTCCAGTACAAAATGATCTCTGGGATGTTTTCAGCAGGATGCAAGAGATGGTAGTCTCTCCACTCGTTCCAGTCTATTGTCATTGTTCCATTTTTATCCATGCTGTAAAAGAAAAGAAGGAAGAGGCTCAGGAATGTACAGAGAAGCAACCGCAGAACAAGATAGGGAAACAAAAAAAAACAAAAAAAAAAAACACAAGACCGGGTGGGATGGAGACAAGCGGAAAACATACTTACTGGGCAACCGGTCCCCATCGGTGGCCCGTCCTAATTCTGACAGTCACACAGACAGAAGCAAAAGGAAAAGACAGCACAAGTGAGACAGTTACTCCTTCCAAGATATTTTCTCTTTTTCTTTTAAAGGTCAGACTTCAGTCAAATACTTTGTCACTTATTTTACAAGAAATAGGCAAAAAAAAAAAAAAAAAAAAATGTTTAAAGCATTCCAGAACAAATATATCTGGTGGAGTCAGGTTTATGAAGGTACTGCTGCTCTCCTGGAAGGTATCCCACATAATGCAATACAACAACAAGAACCGTGCACACAACATACAGACTACATAAGGAGAGAGGGACACAAGGCTGAATTGACACAAGGCTGTCACACTCACCTCTTCAGGATCTTCTCTGCTTGCTGCTCTGAGATATTCACTCCCAAGTCTCTGAGGGACTGCATTATCTCCTGGGCATCAATTCGTCCTTAGAGATTAGAAGTAAGTCCGTTTTAGAAAGTCAAAATTAAAAAAAAAAAAAAAAAGGTACAAAAACCAAAAGGTGGGAATTCTAACGTTCAGTGAGGACATGCGGACGGGGCTTTTACGATAAGCTTTTAACCTGATCAGTAACAGAGCTGTAATTTATGCTGAAACCCAAACTTAGAGAAGAAACTTTGAGGAGGAGAGGGGTGAAGGGAAAAATAAAGTCTGAGCAGGTTGCACATGCCCCCACATTAAAGATAAACCATCCTATAAAAGGGGCAAAAAACAAATCATTTGAGATGCAGATCTAAAATGTTTCACAACAAACAGCATCTGACAGGGCTCCAATACTAAAACTGTGATCCGATCAGTTACTGACGTGGGTGACATGTAATATTAATGAATTACAGTGGCACTTGCAGTTTACTAACCATCATTCTTCTTGTCCAAGCTCCTGAAGACCAGTCGCAGTTTCTTCTCGTGATCACGAAGGTAGTGCACAAACTCTTCAAAGTCCAGCTGTCCATCCTGGTCTTTATCACCAGCTTTCACGATTTTCTGTGGGAGAAAACAAAAAAAAAACGCATAAAATTCAAAAATTGAATGCAGTTTAGTTGAGAAAAAAAAAAAAAAAAAAAAATCTTTCAAGAGGGATCAAAGTCTGCTACTTGTCTATTTCTAGACCAAACAGGGGAAAACTGGATGTAGCAGACAATAAAATACTTGAGAGTCCAACACAACATTGGTGCTGGCTCAAAGGAAAAGCAAACAGCACCTGAGAGAAGAGAAAGAAGGAAGTTGGGGGTTGCTACAATAATATAGACCCATAATTTATCAGGAACCAGTTAGAATGCTATTGTACACAATGGCAAATAGTCACAAAAGGGTTAAATAGAAGAGAGTTGTACAGTGACCTTTGTAAAGTGTCTACACTGCTGTCATAGGACTCCCTAGGGACACAAAGTGCTAACAACCCTAAAGATAGTCTGGGTGTATGACATGAGAGAGCTGGCAAAGTACTAGTGATTTCATAATTCAACAGCAGAATATTTCTACCAACGCAGACGGGACAGAGGGTGCAAGTCAAGCAAAATCATTAGGATCCTTCCAAAATAATATTCATATACGTCAACTAAGTACATAAAATATTTTATAGAAAGAAAGCAACTAGCACCAAAAAAATTAGTTAATAGATGCATACAAATAGTTAATAAAAGTCACCAATGGCAATTTCAATAAGTCTGAAGAGCTAGTTTTCAAAGACAAAATAAAAGTTTTTGTTTTTTTAAATTCCCCAGATCTGCTCAAGTCACAGCTTGCCTATTTATCCCTGATTTTTTCAACTCTGTTTTCAAAATCACTATGATTCCATGTTTAGTGTTACGGGCACTGGGTAAATCTAAATGCACACTGACCTGTCTCCACTGACGGTAGGTGGAAAATTCCTGCGATGGGATAAAGAGACTGAGTCTAAAGATAGATTTCAGTTCCGAAGGGAGTCCCTCTGACTCAAAGCACTGGAATTCAGCCTGAGACTGGTCAAGCACAGGCACATAAAGACTTAGACAAAGCATCCTGGAGGTGCCGATCACACCTGCACAAGCTAATAGCACTGTGTCTTTCTCCGTAGAGCCGTTTGTTCTATGTAATCCAAATGCAAAAAGCCGGCAAGTAACCCAAGACCTACAGGTGGCTGCTGTGCACTGCTATTGGCTGTGTAAGACCTGCCTCCTCCCATAGGAAAGAACAGTTAAAAAGCCCAGCCTTCCAAATGCAGCCAATCCACTAAGAGGCACGTCTGTAAAGTGCTGGAGAGAATCTTGTGTAGCTGTCCAACTTGTACAGTGACATTAATAACAGGGAGCGGGTGAAAGAGGAGGAAGCTCCCAGCAGAAGGGGAGGGGGGGACGGGAGGGACCACTGTGACTGTAACAGGAGATGGGTAATAGGGATTTATATGTTAGAGTGAATCTTTAGCATTTCAGCAGTTAAGAGCTCAGATAGTCTACTTTCCCCTCCTTCTATGGCAGCAAAATACCCAGGAAAGCTTACTGTACCAAACACTGCATATTAAACAATGACTCCTGTCAAAGCTATAAGATTATACATCGGAGACTCACACTGGGCAGTAAGTGTTCATACAGGTTCACTAACAATGTTCAATAATACAGCCAAAAATTAAACTTACTACAATAGAATTAAGGAACAAAATCCGGGACGTAGTAAATTCCCGACTAAGGAACCATGCAATAACATAGGATTACAAATTTGATACAGACGTTGATCGTGAAAGCATGCCACGACTCCTCGCACGATTAGGATACTGTGAGGATACTGGAGGGATTTCCCAGCTCTAGAAGCAAAGGACAGAGGTGGCCTTGAAGCTTCACATACAATCTAAAGTCTCTAATGTTATACAGACCACACAAAAAGTGGCATGCTACTGACAAGTCTGTAGAAGACAAAGTTTGCTTGTCTATGCAGTTTACAGCTGTTCATTCCACAATGCTCTCAATTCAATCCCAGAATGCAATGCACACAGTATTCTTGGATGCACATGTACTTCAATGACCAGCATAACTTTATATCTCTAGGTAACAGTAAAGACATTTAAAAAATGTTGTCTCAAAATAAATGCCATCACAGTATAAAGCAAATAAATGGTTTCTGCCCTCAATCCATAGTTTCACTCAAATAGGAAAATTGGAGCGCCTCAGGGAGCTGGTAGTAGACATACAGTGACTATGGTCACCCAAATCAGAGCCTGGCTAAGGTTTGGCTCAGACTGTGTGCGGGGATTTCTGCAGTGAGTATTCAGTTATGTACGTCTAATGTAACCTGCATCCTGGAGCTGGAAGGATCTTGGATGGTGAAGTAGATAATCACAGTTGCACCCTATAGTTAAAGGACCACTAAAGGCACCCAGACCACTTCAGCTTAATGAAATGGTCTGGGTGCCAGGTCCTCCTAGGATTAACCCTTTCTGCTGTAAACCGTTTACTTTAGGGTTAATCCAGCTTCTAGTGGCTGTCTCATTGACAGCCGCTAGAGGAGCTTCTCACTGATTTTCACAGTGAGAAGACGCCAGCGAATGCTTTCCTATGGACTGACTGAATGCGCGCGGCTCTTGCCACGCATGCGCATTCAGCCGATGACTGGAAAGGAGGAGGAGAGTCTCCAGCACCACGTGAGCCCGGCGCCGGAGAAAGGTAAGTGTTTAACCCCTTCCTCTCCATCCATCCTGGCGGGAGTGGGGCCATGAGGCTGGTGGCACCCTCAGGGCACTATAGTGGTCCTTTAACTCAATGATAACAGGAAGAGCCACTAAAAACAAAACTCAATATTTTAGCTCTTGGACCGCCATTCGAAGGTAAGATGCTTTACAGCAAAAAGCCACATGATACTGCTTCACAAATTACATTTATAAAAAAAAAAGAAAAAAAAAGAAAAAAAAAAAATGAATTATTTCAGTGAAAATACAAGGCATAGCAGCACAGAATGAGCTAACTGGAGAGTTTATGCCCAACATTACTATCAGTGACATTTCAATCTTTTTTTATTTAATTTTGTAAACCGATAACTGGGGTTTTTGCCGGAGGCTTCTCTTACCTTGTTGGAGAACATCCAACTGATACGGACTGACGTTTGGACGAGAGTCTCCACACCGGACTATGGATGACTGGCTACAATTAAGGTACAATGAACGTTTTTGCATGAGTTTTAGTAATACTCTTGTACAAATCATGCTTTGACTGGATTTTTTCAGTTAAAAAAAAAAACCCATTCAGACGCAAACAAGCAGCCTTCAATAACAAGACTGCTGGTAATGAATTCCACAGTTAAAGAAATGAAATCCAGGCTGCTCACCACCTGTCCCAAGGTTTTGTGGTTTGTCTGTCTCAACCAACTATACGTTATTCCATGCATCTACAGCTTTCTGGGAGTATTTACCGCAATCCCACCTACCTTTAGGTCTTTTTGTACGAACTACACTAGAGAATGCATTGCTCTAAATGTATTAAATATTACTGCAGTTCATTCTCTACAGCAGGATTTATCACTCCAGAGGTTGTGGACTTTATCTCCCATGATGCTTTTCCAGCATTACGACTATAAGAGCATTATGGGAGATGTAGTCCGAAACATTTGGTGTACTGAAGGTTGCCAACCCCAGCTCCAGAGTATCTATAACATGTAGAGCAAAAAACAGGGCACAAGAGAATACTGAGAACGGCAGCAGCTGAAATAGCCTGCCCTTCGGTGGGTCCCCGCTCAGTTCTCAAGCTGGTTTTAGCTCATCTTGTGCCATTACAGAGAGAACATCTCTGAAACATATCAGACTGGTCCCACCCATACGGGCAGTCCAGATCCGAAATGCCAGCAAGTTCTCTCTGCACGAGAACTACAGCAACCCCAGGCGATCGTTTCAGCCTTGTTAGGCATCATCGTGCAGAGAGAACTTGCTGGCATTTCGGATCTGGACTGCCCGTATGGGTGGGACCAGTCTGATATGCTCCAGATATGTTCTCTCTGTAATGGCACAAGATGGGCTAAAACCAGCTTGAGTTCTGAGCGGGGACCCACCGAAGGGCAGACTATTTTAGTTGCTGTCCGTTCTCAGAATACTCTTGCGACCTGTTTTTTGCTCTCCATCTATAAGATGTACTTAATATCCTAGCATACAAATGACTGCTGACTAGATTTTTAAGTTTACATATTACATTTTTTTTATTTTTTTTTTGAGCAGATTGGCTAAAATGTTTGCGTGTGTTCCATGTAGAGTTGGCAGAAACAACCAGAACTTATAGACTATCACTTGATGGACCGCAGAAGATACAATTTTTCCCATAGAAAGTATGAATTTAAAGGAGTACTGTGGGCAACAAAACAGCTTAATGTAGCGGTTTTAGCGTATAGATCACGCACTAATCACTGCTCAATTTAAGAGTTTATCCTCATGCAGCCCTAGGCACACCTCCCCTGACTGTCTCACAGCCTACATGAGGGGGGCAATAATATTTTCAGATATTAACTTGCTTTAGACGTTTTTATCCCCGGCTCTGTAAATTGAACTTTAAAAACACACAAACAAGGCTCCTGCAGGGTCTAAAAGGCAACTAGAGCAGGAGATAAATTCCAGATTAAACAGACTATGTGCAATACGAGAACCTAAAATATCTAGGTTTTCAGAAAGTTTTTAGCAAGGCTGTGCAAGTCAAATGCAAGGAAGTATGACTAGGACTGCATAAACAATTAAAAAAAAAAGATACTATATAGTAACCAAAACAATACAGCTTAAAGGGACTCTCCAGTGCCAGGAAATTCCATTTTCCTGGCACTGCAGGCCCCGTCTCCCTCCCACCCCACAATCCCCAGTTGCTGAAGGGGTGAAAACCCCTTCAGTAACTTAGAGGCAGCGACGACGTCCCACGTTGCTGCTTCTTCCTCCGCCGCTCCTCCCAGTGATTGCGTCGACCAGTGGGCGAGACTGATCCCGCCCACCGGCCGGGGAAACCTAATGCCCATGCGCACTAATGCCGCGCATGCACATTAGAGCCCCCCATAGGAAAGCATTGAAAATGCTTTTCAATGCTTTCCTATGGGGAAATGAGCGACGCTGGAGGTCCTCACACAGTGTGAGGACGTCCAGCGATGCTCTAGCACAGGTTTCCTGTGCTAGGAACACGGAAGTGCCGTCTAGTAGACAGCCACTAGAGGTGGAGTTAACCCTGCAAGGTAATTATTGCAGTTTATAAACATAAATAAATGCAATAATTACACTTGCAGGGTTAAAAGTAGTAGTAGTGGGAGTTGGCACCCAGACCACTCCACTGGGCAGAAGTGGTCTGGGTGCCTGGAGTGTCCCTTTAATGTATTGGTTCTGGTGTCTATAGCATGTCCCTGCAGGCTCAGCAATGTAAACGCTGCCTTTTCAGAGAATGGTCAATGCTGCATTGTGTACAGCACTTAAGTTCAGCATTTCTACGCTCTGCATGAAGAGGCTGAACACTCCCCATAGAGATGCATTGATTCAATGCATCTGAAGAGATGCTGGTTGGTGCAGCATGGTGTTTTGCTACACAGATGCAATAGCCTCCCAAGCATTGAATTGGCCAAGATCATCAAGATTGAGGATCTCAGCCATGGAGTTGGGGCCAGCAGCAGGGAGACTAGCGTGAAAACGAAAATTAAAGGGACACTATAAGGAACCCAGACCAATACAACTCATTGAAGTGGTCTGGGTGTACTGTTCCTGCAATAGTAATATATTGCAGTTATTGAGAAACTTCAACAATTCCTATCCAAGGTTAACTGCTCTTCCTGTGGCTTTCTATCAGACAGCCACTAAAGGAACTTCCAGGTAGTTAGGCGACTTTTGGTCACCTGACGCTGGACATCCTCATGCTATCCATGTGGACATCCAGCATCACCCAAAAGCCCATAGGAAAGTATTATACAGTGATTCCCTATGGGGGCTGTCCTAACGCATGCCCCGATGTCGGCCAAGGAAAAGTCTGACCCAGCACCGAGGGACATTGGTGCTGGATTCACGTAAGTGACTAAAAGGGTTCTGTGCTGCAGGGTGGGGCACTATAGGTAGCTATAGTGCTAGGAATACAAATTTGAATAGCCTATATAGTTTCCTTTTAAATACCCGTTAACTCCATTCTGACCAAATAGGTCAGGGGTAGCCAATCTTTGGCACTCCAGATGTTGTGGACTACACCTCCCATAACGCTCTTGCAGCCATAATACTGAGAGCATCATGGGATGTGTAGTCCAAAACATCTGGAATGCTGAAGGTTGCCCACCACTGAAAAAAGGTAGTCCAGCACTATAGTGTTAGGAATACATGTTTGTATTCCTAACACCATAGTGTTCCTTAAACTCCTAAATGGGAGATAAACAGGGAGGCTGCTAGTGCATGATCTACACACCAAAACATTTTCAATCTAAAGTTGTTTTGATGCCTAGAGTACTTTCCACGTTCTCTAGGGCAGCAGATGACTGATGGCATGCAGTCATGAAAAATGTGTGAAAACAAGTATTTGAGCAGAAAACAAGTCAATTATATCAGGTGTGTGATAAAATGCTCAGAAAACAAGTTCTTATGTCACTGGGCCAAAGGGATCATTCAGCATGGGACAAGAGAACACTGTGTTCATAGAAATTAACACATGACAACACATGCAAAAACAAAGAGGTCCCAAACAGCGGCAGGGGGAGGAAACATAGTAAGGAACAGATAGGTAGGAAGCATCAAAGCAGGTGTAAATAACCGACACAGACGTGTTATTTTCTAGGAACATTTCACACAGGAGGTAGATACACTAAACCAGTACAGGACTGATGTCACTGGGCAGATGAACTGTGAACTGTAAAGTTCTTTCAATCAAAACTGGAACAAGCCTCGGGTCACGAGATGGAGTTAATAATTAGGAGATGAAACCACTCTGATGCAAGATAATCATGATTTAGGCAGGTGACAGATAAGATCTAGAAGCTGCCAGGTCCACGTGCACCAGCTCTCAGTGACTTGCATCAGTGATGCTATCAGGAAATGCTCCAGAGCAGAAGCACAGCCAAATAAATGAAACAACTGCTTTTATAAATTATGGACATTGGTCTTCAGACCAGTCATCGAGGCAGAGCACGGAGGAACAAGCTGTGCCCGTCAGGGCTCTAAAAGAAAGTTTCAGCTCTTAGAATTGAGATAAAGATCTGCCCTAACAATGAATTCCTGCTAGAGCTAGGCTGGGGGTGATTAGCATATCAAAGAGGAGCTTTTAAACACCCAGTGTACAACAGAACTACCAGCAAAACTGTAATTGTACCTGCAACTGTAAAATTGGCATCTTTTATCTATATATTTGTATCCATGGATTACGGAGAAACGTTACCTTTTGTAAAAGTGTCTTGGGACCAACTAGCACTAGGATCATCTGTCCCTCTTCTTGTGACATAGGCTGATCTTGCAGATTTGACCTCTTTGTGTCCTTAGGGCTTATGGGACTCTCTGTCGAGCCAGAGCCTTTGCAGGCCACCCAGGGTACGTACATGCTCAGGAGGTCCCAGAAAGACTGCATCAGGTCTGGCAGTTTTAGAAAGATGCTCAAATTAAAAAGCAAAAATAAAAACTCTTGGATTTACCAGTGTCTAAGTAAAGCATTGCTTCACAAATCGGAGAGATTAAAATTTAAAAAAATAAATAAAATTCTCCAGGGCAAACAAACAAAACCCATATCAGATAGAGGCACGAACGTGACAGCTGCATATTGTAGATTCACTGTGCAGCCCTACAAGTCTGCGCTTTTTCCTCAATCAGCAAATGAACACGGCACATAACCAGAAGCTTTTCGTCTGCATTCACACTGCAGCAGGGTCTAGCCAATCACAGCCTTGGACATTACCATGTTCATTATTCAAACCAGTGAGCATCATTCAATTAGCAGGGAAATTCCTGCATGGCCCATCGTGAGAAACTGCATCACTTATTGAGTTTCACGTACATGTGCCACCCAATCGGCCTTTAACACGATGATAGAGTGCATCACATCTACTATGATAAAACAGGGGGAAATAAAAATAACGGAAATAAATAAATTATTTTTTCGTCATAACTTTATCTAGGCCTGCACTGAAAGACCAGAAGAGATGAGATTTTATCCCTTATCCCAGGGGTGCCCAAAAATGTAGAACCCCAGATGTTTTAGAACTATAACTCCCATGATGCTTTGCATGCCTTTAGAATGAGGAGCATCATGGAATCTGTAGTTTTAAGACATCTGGGGATCAATCTTTTGGGCACCCCTGCCTTATCCTCTATCACAGCTTACTCACTAAACAGTGAATTGTGACTAACGAAATTCTAACTTTGCAGAATGTAGGTTAAAACAGAACTTGAAATATTTTGCAAATATATTAGAGCATATAATATATATTAGATATATATCTATATCAGGCGTGGCTATTTTGGTCTGTGTTTTATGGATTCATTGTTCTTTTCTGTGTTGGGTGACTAAACTACCCTGAATCATTCAGTAATGAGTCACGATTCGTGATCAGTGCGGAGAGGAGGCAGACAATGCTTGGTATGCAAGTCACAAAAGCTCTTGCTGACAGAACCTCGCAGCAGCCCATTCACGGGAAGCCAGGCACCTACAAAGCTTGCATAGTAATGAATGGGTTAAATGTCAGCAGGTAATATATTATCCTCCTCAATTTATAAATTTAAACAGGTTAGTCACAACCATGAGGGAATTAAAAAAAAAAAAAATAGAATCAAAATTACATCAAATATAATTTTCAAGAAAGGTCTTAGCAACTACAAAATCATATTAAGATCTTGCTAAAAACCCCATAACACCATCGCCAAAGTAAAGAGAGGGGAGAAATTTTTTTTTTTTTAGATTTTGATCAGAGTGTACAGCACTTCTCTACCTGGGCCAAAGGGGGAATGAAGGCACTACATACTATAATATATAGACAAACCACTTCATTTGTCACAGTTAACTTGGGGGTATAAAATACAGGATACATTGGGTCTCTGAATATTGCCAATACTTGCATTTTGCACTATAACCAGGCACTGGCTAAATGAGCTGCAGTAGTTTATAGCCATAAAGAATGATAACTGAACTACCTTCGTTCATTCACCAATGTAAGCTTGTAGACAATATTAGCCCACTAAACCGTGTGGAGATACAGACCACACACACACTGTAGCTTTAGAGAGCATGAAAAGATGATTGAGGGCAACAAATACAAATCTGCAAGTAGGAAATGTAAAAGTGTGTTAATAGGATGGCAAAGGGATTAAAATGAAGGAAGGACAAATAACATTATCAGAGCTTATCTTCTGTAAACAAGACATTGTGATCCATAACCCAAACAAGAGAGCAAACCAGACCAAACCCAGAGGCTTGCAAATGACCTTTGCCAATCTATGGCAGGGCTTGATAATGTCTCTAGAACCAAAAAAAGGAGACAGCACCAAGATAAGAAATCTTCTCACACTCCCACCCGCAACTTATTAGTCAGTGCATTAAAAAAAAAAAAGAAACCCAGCAATGTTGACAGAAACACACAAATCTTCCTTTTCAGCCTTGAAATTGAAAGCAAGATCAGGCTTATTTACTGAAGTGCGAATTGTGAAACTCAAATTTAGACACCTTAAAGGAATGCTCCAATCACCATAACCACTACAGCACAATGTAGTGGCCATGGTGCTTGGATGGCTCCTTTAACTGGAGAAAAACAAAAACAAAAAAAAACCTCCATACAGCTTGCTGAAGCACTGTGTGTGGAGTCTGTCACTTTTGTTTGGACAGTTATAGAATTCTATCATTTGGGGCAGAAAATTCCCTTGCTGTCAATCAGAAAGCCAGAGATGTTTCCTTCCGCCTCCGTTACCCCAAAGAATTAACGAAATTGGCAGGAGTGCTTTCACAATGAACTGTAAGCTCGTTTAAGCAGGGTCCTGTAACTGTCTCATTTATTGTTAAGTTCCACCTTTTATAATATTGTAAAGCGCTACAGAATAAGTTGTCGCTATATAAAGAGCCCCCTCATATCACATACACAGCTTGCTTTCTGGTATATGTACTGAATAGTCCCTTTTTGGGAGTAATTCAATCCATAGATTCACAGCACAAGTAACTGTAAAGGAGGCAGTATTAATAGAATAGAAAGCAGGACTGACAGGAGCTCTCTAAGAGGGATTTACTTAGGTCCCTAGTGTCTGTCCGATGAAGGACATCTCATACTGCACGTGACAGTACCTAGAATTTCTCTACTTTTCGAAGGCCCAAGGTATCGTGCATGAAACTCCATAAGATTATCAGCAGATCTTAGTGGGCGTTTTGGCATTGATGGAATAAGGCGCTCATTCAGGTAACTGCTAAACATTCAGTGCTTTATGTTCTCATAACAAACAGCGATTTGTATGGGTAGCCAGTGGATGACATGGAAGGAGAATTCAGATTTCTTATTGGTGATGTATGTAAAGTCGAATAATGTGATATATAGTGAATTAGACATGGAGCAGAACGGTTAGTGCCAAAAAAAAAACAAAAAACCACAGTGGTTATCGAATAATTCTGTAGTCATGAGTAATTTTGCACGAATTACATGAGCCATTTCTATTACCTTGCAAAGTAAATTCAATGTCTGTTTTGCACGAATGAATCCACTTGCAGCTGTGCATGGGTGTGACTGCTGTAAAATTAGCTGACAGAAAGCAATGGCATACATATTCCGATAAAGATATTTGCACGATCATTCAAACAAAACCGCTTCTTTGACATAAAGCAGGAATAGTGAGAAGAAAAAAAAAAAAAAAATAGCTATTGTACTACTGAGCTACAGACAGGAAATAGAGGGAACTCCTTCCCCCTTACTGTGAGCTTCGGGGGTTGCTTTAAATTAACATAACTCAATGGTGTACCATGTAAACAATTTTAACGTATCACACATGATATTACAGAAGGTTTTTAAAGACATTAAAGGTATGCTGATTTTTGCCAATTCAAACTTTCACTTGCTCTGCAGTTGATTTTTCTCCATCCTAAACCATCTTACGTGGTCTTGTGAGAAGGCAGAGCAAAATGTTAACAAAATGGAGGCTTCAATGGCAAAATGTTTGATGTGTTATATAACAACTTTCAGCACTAAGCACATTGGCTCCTCTTTAAACATCACTAAGAGTTGGAAAATCTGGGTACTTTGGGAGAAACAACCTGCTCTCAAGATGTTGCCTACAACTCCCATCGCCTTCAGGAAAGCTCAGCCAGTCAGTGATGAGAGTTACCATCCAGAGCATTGCTAGTTAACCCTTATCTACCCAGCTCTGTACGGACAAACAATTATAAACACATTTACAAAGAGTACATTTCTATGGTATCGTTTCTGTGACACTTAACATTTTTGAAAGCAAAGGTGAAACAGATCGAAGCCATGATTCAATAAAAGTCAGTTTTCCATTAACTGAATTTGATAGGTTCTCATCAGCAAGGCTTTCATTTAAAAAACAAACAAAAAAAAAACAAAAAAAAAACCATACAAGCTCCCTATAGCATTTAAACATACCCTGTGCATATAAATGGTGTCCATGGAATATATAATAATTTTAAAAAATTATAAATAGTTTATGCTAGAGACTCCACTTATTTAAAGGACCACTATAGGCACCCAACCACTTCGGCTTAATAAAGTGGTCTGGGTGCCAGGTCCAGCTAGGATTAACCCTTTCTTCTATAAACAATGCATGCGCATTCAGCTAGTGACGAGGAGGAGAGTCCCCCACCCGGTGCTGGGAGAAAAAATAAAGTAAATTTAACCCCTTCTACCACCTAGAGCCTGGCAGCAGAGGGGCCATGAGGGTGGGGGCACCCTCAGGGCAATATAGTGCCAGGAAAACGAGTATGTTTTCCTGGCACTATAGTGGTCCTTTAATACGTTTTAGCACACATCTTGAACATCGATAGAAAAACTATTAATAAGCAAATTTCACACATTCCATTTTACAGTGCTGAAAGTTCAAAGTGGGAGGGGGCAGAACAAAGCAAGCCACAGTTTCACTCCTGACTCACTCAAATCAAAAGGCTAAAGATCAACAAAGTAACACAGGGCACAGAGTTTGCTCTCATTTGTACCTTGGTTACCTAATCAATGAGGAGCTTTACACCTAGTGGAACATTTACTTACATGTGTGGCATTTCCTAACAATGAGCAGGACCATAACTCATAACTCCCCTCCACAAACTCAGTTGCGGCTCGTCCTAACATCACATAACCTACCTCAGCAACGTGACAAAACTCTTACAGATAGGTACATTAGGGAGAGATATCACAGAATTGCTTCCTGCTAAGATCCAACAGTTTTAGGAAGCAGGGAATGGGAAAAGTGGGTTTGAAGAATGGCGTGTTTTTTTTTTTTTTTTTTTTAATTGTACCCATTAATTCACAACTTGGCCCTTTATTTTGCTATACCATTAACAGTTTCTTACCCCAGCCTAGATCATAGGTATAGCCAAGTCCATGATTTCCTGTGAAAAACAAGGCAAGTTCTGAAAGATGTGGAGTCAGAACTCTGAACCATTAAAAACAGATTGTCAAGTGACAAACTGTGGTTTGTGTGGCCACACGTAACAACCCACCCCTCCCTCAACCAGAACGTACATAAAGGCTAAATAAGTGGTAATTGACAAATAGCCGCCAATCATAAGAGTATTTGTTTTGCTGAACTCTAGAACCTTTGTGAAAATTCTACACAATGAATCAAAGAGGCAGTCTGAATAGCATTTCATTTAGCCTTAGAGATGTACTTCATGTAGTCCTCATTTATAGTCTACTCTGCAGCATTTTGAATGCACAGAGCCCCCCAGAACATCACCCCTTGGGGACTCCTGAAATCAGTACAGCTGCAAACTTTGTTTTTGGGATGGCGGGGGGTGAGCTTTTGACCTTTCAGGGCACTGCTAGACTGTATGACCCTAAGTTGTAACTGGAATGTCTGTACATTCAACTCCGGTACAGGCAAATGTAGCATTAGAGATATTGTGATTAGCTGGAGAGACATGCTTAAATAAATGGCTAGAGAACAGGTGTTACTTTATTGATCACCCAAAATCAAGTGACAATTTTCTTTTAGCATATAGATAAAGGGAAAAAATATTTAAAACTCCAGAGAGTGACTTTGCCAATCACGATGTTTACTTAAAGGACTATAGCAATAGAGAATTATGAATTAAAACAAGCAGCGAAAAGTCTTCGTGCAAGAAAACAAGTCAATGTCTTCATCCACGGAGGTACCCACATGAGTAATAAATCTAATCAATGAGTGTGTTAGTATGAATATAGCTGAATCTACAATTACTAATGCAGACACAAAAATATTGTGGTAAAATAGAAAATGGAGTGTCCCCTAAACCATGGGATGCGTGTGAATACATGTGTCAAGAAGAACCTGTAGTGGAGCAAGATACTTGTTAGTCATTAGCATCTGCCTCATTCACTACTGCATGGACACATCCCTTAGCTATTTAAAGAATTCGTGGATTAAGAGGACACATTAACTAACAGATTAACAGAATTACAGAGAGATTTACAGCAAGATGTATTGAGTCAATGCTTTCATATGGGGTTTTGCTTGGTGGTGGATATTCTCATGCAAAGCGTGAGGACGTCCAGTGTCGTTTCACAGAGTAAAAGTCTGATTGACAGCCACTAGAGGAAGTCTTAACCCTGCAATGTAAAAATTGCACTTTTCCCACAACTGCAATGTTTTCATTTGCAGGGTTAAAATTACAGGACTAACACACCCAGACCACGTCAATTATATAAATTGGTCTCGGTGACCATAGTATCCCTTTAAGTATTCAAATCTATACTAAATCACTAAAATAAATGTTTAAGCAAACTAACTATAGGAGCTTGTAAGATATATCCAGGAAACTAGACTTTATTGGTGAATTGATGTTTAAAAAGAACAAAAAAAAACCCAAAAACTACTAAGTTAGGACATATTTGCTTGGTATCAAAAGTTATTTATATTGTGCCAGCATATTCTACAGCATGGTACAATAATTAAAACATGAAAGTAAAAAAGTTTGACACAAGGGAACAGTAGGTTAAGAGGGCCCTTCCCAAATGAGCTTACAACCAAATAAGGATTATGGACAAATACACAGAGGGCATTAAACAACCTGGATATGCCTGGAAGGATGGGAGGGGTTTTTGGGAGGAGAGAGAACAGAAAAATGCTTAATGGATGAGCTGATAGGATTCTCTAAAGAAGTGTTTTTGTTAGGACTGCAGAGAAGTGGCATTGAATGTATGCCACAAGGAGGAGGAAATCCAAGAGATAAGTCAGGGGTGCAGGTACAATAGAGGAATATCAACAGGTTGTTGGTTGAGCGAAGAGGCTGGGTCCGAACATATTTGGTGACACTGTGTGTGTGTGTATACATACCCACACACGTGTTTCTTAGATATAAATATGTATATCTATCTCAAGGCTAATCTCAAGCATAAAAAAGCTCTCCAGCTGTTGCAGCACTTTCATTCCCATAATGCATTGCTAGCCTAAAGCCTGAAAAAGCTTGACATTAGCAGCTGGTGAACTTACATTCCATCCTTGAAATAAAACACACTAACCTGCACTAAACATTTATCCACAGGGACAAGGTGATATCAGATATCCAAGTTTGTAGAATGAATGAGATATATATATATATATATATAGTGTAAAAGATAGCTCTTACACTCCAACTCTAGAATATAAATGTACCTGGTGCTCTGGTTACATAGATATAAAAATGGAACAAAATACCGGCACTCCGAGGCTTTAAATCCAAACAAGTCATCTTTATTCAAACTCCAGTCAACGTTTCAGCTTCTCTGCTGAGCTTTTATCAGGACATACCCCTATACCCTGATGGAAGCTCCGTAGAGAAGCTGAAGCGTTGACTGGAGTTTGAATAAAGATGATTTGTTTGGAGTTAAAGCCTCGGAGTGCCGGTATTTTGCTCTCTATATCTATCCCCCCCCCCGGCCGCCCGGTGCGGCTGCTCACCCTGAGTTCCAGCTCTGTCCGGTGGACCCCGAGCCGTTTCAGCCCCACGGCCAGGTCGTTGATGCAGATGGCGCCATCTTTGTTGACGTCCAGCTCCTGGAAGAGGATCTGCAGCCGGCGCTCGTGCTCGGGCCCCCCGCACAGCGCTCCCCCGCACGGGTCGGCGGCGAGGGCTGCCGCCCGGGACTGCTGGGCCTCGTGCGCGAAGTGCGGCGGGTCACACTGGCAGAACACCCCGCTCAGCAGCGGCGACACCAGCGTGCGAGGGCGGGACATAGACGGAGCCGGCGTGACGGAGCAGCGGGTTCGGTAACAGGGATGGCGAGTCGCCCGGCGACCAGGGAGCGCGTTATCAAATACCACCGGTATATGGCGGCCGGAAACGCGTCACCACCACACCTCCCTGACGTAGCGCAAAACTGTCAATCACTCAGCCCTCATCGCTGAACCGGCCAATCACAATGTGCCTGCGTGTGTGGCCCCGCCCCCGCAGCAACGCGCGCGTTCTATTGGCTGCCCTGCTAGCATTTGTAGAGTCGGTGACCAATAAGAGCGCAGCAATTAGGAGGGAAATTAAAAAAATTACATTTTATCATGAAAAACAGCAAAAATCGTTCTTGTATTGCTTGCTAATGAACACAGTGGTACAATGTTTAACGTTGGTGACAAAAATAATACGATTAGCCCGAACTCGAACGCAGAGAACTGCCAGCAAAGCACCCTTTGAGGTATCATCCAATCACAGGTGGAGAAAGTGATTGACAGCAGCGTTAAGCAATCACACAACAGTTTTCGGTTGACGGTTTGATGTGGCTTACTAACGAGGCGTTGGGCGGGGTAATCGGAGTGACAGCTGCCTCGCCCAATGGTGTTGTTCGGAGTAGGCGGGTCCGTCGCACAGTTAGACTGCGTACGGACGTGATAAAGAGGCAGATTCTCGAAGCTGTTACGCTGCGTAGTTTTGTCTCCCTAAGCGTACGTAATTTACGTATTGCGGCCTATTCCACATTGTTGGCGGGGCAATGGCTACGCCAGCCAAGAAAAGGAAGATGAATTTCTCAGAGCAGGAGGTGGAGATCATCATGGAGGAGATGGAAAAACAAAAACACGTCCTCATTAACCACTTCAATGCTGGTGTGCCACTACTGACCAAGAGCAACGCCTGGCAGGAGATCTTGAAGCGGGTGAACGCCATTAGCACGTGCCAACGCGAGCTGGCCGAAGTCAAGAAGAAGTGGTCCGACCTGAAAACCGACGTGCGCCGGAAAATGTCCCAGGCCCGTGCCACCATGGAAGGCGAGGGCGATGGCGAACCAGTCGTGCTGACCCCCATGCAGCAGCGCATCTGCAACCTGCTGGGCGAAAGCTCCATCCTTAGCTTGCCTAACCACGAGTGCCCTGCTGACATATCTGGCCAAGTGGCCATCAGTTCGCCTGGCGGCGTTACGCTTTCCCAGAGTGAGTGGGTAACCTTTACTACAACGCCATGGCGCGCATTCCCAGCGCCGAATGGTTGACCAGTTTACACGATGGGATAACTGAAGACGTGTCTATGCCAACCGGTGCAGATTTTATGTTCGATCACAGTATTTCAACCCGCGCTGCTTATAATCCACGAGTTACTTCTAAGGTGGCCCGGTGCGCAATTCAGTGTTGGTTAAAGTGTAGGCGTTAATGGATTTTGATCGGAAATATTCAATTTAATTTAAAGATCACATTTCTTACTCAGAATAATTCTTACATTTCTTAGTCAGAATAATGTTGCAAAAAACAGAATTAGATGTTGTAGATATGTCCAGGAAATTTTTTTTTACTGGACATGTAGGTAACCGCTCTAGCCATTCGACACTGCCCTATATAGAAATAAAATAACACTGCATGGCGTAACGTGTATCTTACTAAAGCTTTAAATTAGTTTGTTGGGTACAAAAAAAAAATTACTGTATTTATAAGGAACACGTCTAGGGCAAAGTTGAGAAGGTGGGATGGTTAACACTAGCAGTCTGGTTTTGCTAATTTCTCAGTTATTAAATGTTTTACCAATATTTCTCTGTATGAATAATTCACATTTAATATGGAGTTGTGTTGGATACAATCTCTGATTAGAATATGGGCTGTTTGTGCCTGGTCTTATAGACTAAGAGATATAAATTGCTCCGCTGTGAAACAAATCTTTACAAAATATAAGCACATTTAGCTATATATAGAGCTTTGTAACAGTATGTACGATCTGATCCGAATGCGGAATCTGAACATTGTCATTGAGTACCCAATGTTCTAAGCTGTGTGTTTTGTATTTGATTCTTATTTTGGTGATTATAGCCATAACCATAACTTTAGAAACAAGTAGAAATATATTGTTTATCACATTGACACCCACAGTAGTAAATTTTCAGCACTATCTGTAATCGGCAATGTTTCAATCACTCAAATGACTTTTATGTTAACTTTCATGCATATTTCTTTCTTTCAGTCCCATCTGAAACAACGTATCATACACTAGAAGAGAATGTAGTGGAGTATTGTACTACGGAGACCCCTACGACTGTTGGGTCTGAAACTCCGGTAGAGATTATATCACCTTCCCCAGACGTCACCTTGAAACCTCAAGAGCTGAAAAATCGAATTGCTCTGAATTCGGCTCGGTTGCTACAAGAGCAGCGGGTCACCAACCTCCACGTGAAAGAGATTGCCCAGCACCTCGAGCAGCAGAACGACATCCTGCAGATGATACGCCGTTCCCAGGAAGTGCAGGCCAGCGCACAAGAGCGCCAAGCACAGGCCATGGAGGGGACTCAGGCTGCACTTAGTGCGCTCATCCAGGTTCTACGACCAGTGATGAAGGACATGCGTAGATACCTACAGAGTTGCGTCAACAGCTCACAAGATGGTGGCGATGTTGGCAATTCCGAAACTCAAAATGGGCAACCGCATAGTATTAACCAATGACTGGCAATGAACTTTTTAAACCAAACAGTACCATAACATAACAATGTTCAGTATTGGAAGACTCTTTCAGAGGACTGACGGCCAGGAAATGTAGAATCTTAAACTGAAAAGTGTGACCCTTACATCTTAGCGTTTTAAAATATGAAACTTCCTAAATCGGCAACTGCTATGGTAATCTACACATTCCATAGCCAGGCATCTCTACAGCCAAACATTTGTTCTATAAATTCTTGGGATCTGGCAAGCCCAAGTGCTTAACACAGGAAGACAGGATGTATAAGAACTAATGGTTTCAAGGTTGGGTTAACCGAATGCGTCATCTTGTCTATTCTTCTCTAGTTAGAGGGTCAGTAATATAAATAGATGTTTTTTGACATAGCACACTGAGGGAAATTCCAATATCAATAAAGTGTTTTTTTTTTTTTTTTAATTCTTTTTTTAAAGGCTAAAGTTATTTTAAAATGCTAGCAGAATTTATGCAGTTTTATACTTTGTACCACTCTTTTAATTGGGTTAATTGGGTTTAGGCATGTTCTGGCAGAATATACACATTAACCCCTTAAGGACACATGACATGTGTGACATGTCTTGATTCCCTTTTATTCCAGAAGTTTGGTCCTTAAGGGGTTAAAGGGTCACTGTAATCACATTAATAACTTCATTTTATTGAACTTGTGATAGTGCCCTCCTTATCCTACCTCCAAAATTCTAATATTAAACTAAACTGAAGGCTTGGAATCTTACCTCCTGACTCACATAATCAGACATCATATGTGCATGCGCAGTCACAGTCGGCAATAGAGAATCATTGTATTACTCTCTATGGAGGAATTCCAGGAGCATTGTGACAAGTAAGACTTGGTGCTGGAGAAAAGATAGGGGTGGGGGGGACATGATAAGGGGTAACAGGAATGTAGTGTTAAGAATACTGGTATGTATTCTTAACACTAGAGTGACTATTTAAGTAATGGCACCATACAGATGCCCCTACGGTGAAAGACATTCCTTTTTAGATGTAAAGTTCCAATTATAAAAACACTATAAGGTCAGGAATGTGTATTCCTGACCCTATAGTGTTAAAACACAATTCAAGTTTCTGGCCCCCCCTTTAAAAAGCTGTAAAATTGACCTTTATTCCAGCCCTGTGCGGGTCTGTCGGATGTCTCTGGCCTGCCCCCGATCCTCCTATTTGGCTGAGATCATCAGAAGTGACGATCTCAGCCAATCGCATTGGTTTGGCTGAGATCGTTCATTCTGATGATCTCAGCCAAGGAGGGAGTGGAGCCAAATGCTGCACTATCCAATCAGCACCTCCTTTAAGATTTACTCAATTAATTTCATATGGATTGTGATTGACCGTTCTGACCACTTCATTCTGTCTGCTCTTCTTCAAGCAGAGAAAAAATTGAATGTATCTCAAAAAGTGTTTGCAATTTTTCACCATTTTTTCAGATAACAAAATCAGAAGTTGTATTTAATGTTTATGGCATATGCTGATGTGTAATTAATAGCTGTTTCTAGATTTATTTTTCCGCCTTGTAGTTCAGGAATCCCTTTAGAGAGAGCATGGGAAGAGTTGCAGAGAGAAATATTAGTATACTTTTAACAGGCATATTTGTATTCACAACATATTTTCGAATTCTTTCAGGGTCATACACAGTAATTGCTAGGAGAAAGACAAAACTAAAGAAAAAAAAATTCTCCGCTATTTTTTTCTGTTTGGACTATTTTGTCTAAAATTTTTAATTTATCTTGTCTGTTCTTCATATTTCCTGGTTTAATGATTATAACTGTAGATATGGATATATTGAGCCATGAATTCAAATCCAGATCACTGACCAGTATGTAGTTATGATCTAATCATTTTTAAAAAATTGCAGGCTTCCAGAAACAAGGAAAAATAAAACTGCGTACCTTTTACATGTGTGTGATGATCCATTCATAGGAGCATTCATATGAGATAATATTTATTAATTTTGATAACTATTCCACCTTGCTCACAATATTTGCTTTGAATATTTTAAATGGTAAAATGTACAGCTGATGTAAAAGGAAAAAAAAACACCTTCAAGGCTTGAACTGTTGTATGTTTTTATCAAGTAATTAATTTAGTAATTAAAGGGATACTATAGGCATCAAAACAATGTTTGCTTAAAACAGCACTGTCACCGTCCGGGGGCCTTTGCCAAAACCACAAAGTCCCCGGACGGTGTCACTGCTGCTAGAGGTCCAATGACCGCAGGGCAGATAAGGGTGAGATTACTTACCTGAACCTATTATTTCCTCTTCTGTTAATTTCTGATCTATTTCTCTTTAAAAACATAAGACAAAGTAGGGACTACTTTGTCTTATGTATGTTTCCTATGCTTGACAAGGGATGGAGTTTAAAGGGACACTATAGTCACCTGAACAACTTTAGCTTAACAAAGAAGTTTTGGTGTATAGGACATGCCCCTGCAGCCTCACTGCTCAATCCTCTGCCATTTAGGAGTTAAATCCCTTTGTTTATGAACCCTAGTCACACCTCCCTGCATGTGACTTGCACAGCCTTCCATAAACACTTCCTGTAAAGAGAGCCCTATTTAGGCTTTCTTTATTGCAAGTTCTGTTTAATTAAGATTTTCTTATCCCCTGCTATGTTAATAGCTTGCTAGTCCCTGCAAGAGCCTCCTGTATGTGATTAAAGTTCAATTTAGTGATTGAGATACAATTATTTAAGGTAAATTACATCTGTTTGAAAGTGAAACCAGTTGTTTTTTTTCATGCAGGCTCTGTCAATCATAGCCAGGGGAGGTGTGGCTAGGGCTGCATAAACAGAAACAAAGTGATTTAACTCCTAAATTACAGTGAATAGAGCAGTGAAATTGCAGGGCAATGATCTATACACTAAAACTGCTTTATTTAGGTAAAGTAATTTAGGTTACAAAAACAAATCTGTGCAGTGAAAACGTTTATACAGATACAATATATCAAGTTATTATTAAAAATCTAGCTGCTTCCACACTGAATGTGTAATTCTCCACAAACACACAAGCCCGTGAAATACAAAGTTTAAAACAGTGGAGCCTTTATATATTAACCCAGTGTTATGTTATGCACCAATAAAATATTGTAACACTTAGCTGGGATCTTTCAATTAGTATATTGGTATCTTCTGTACCTTAAAAGAGAGATTGCATATAGTGTAATATTATTATTGTTATAAGAGTTTAAGGGAGAAAAATTGGAAAACTCACATATTCCACAGCTATGATGACCTAGCTCTTGTATGGAATGCTTATGGGCGACCTCCCCCTCTTTATTCCAGTACTGGTGTATGTCCAACGTTACCTCTCAATAAAAGACAATATATATAGTGAAGGTCCACTAAAAGTGAGTTCCAGCTTATTACAAGTAGGAGTATACTCACAAATGTAGAGCCTTGTCCTGGCTCAGTAAAACAGCTTAGTGTAGTTTGGGACTACACACCGATCTGTGTAGATGCAGGAGACTCAAATAGGTATAAAAGTATTACTTTAATGGAAGCCGGAGGCCATGCGCCTGCACCGGTGGCCAAGACCACAGCCCGGAAGGAACCGGACAGAGTGTCACCGATGACACATACCCTGCACACGTGGGTCAACCTGAGACGGACCCACCACATATCCCCGACCCCAAGCCCAATGATTCCACTCACCAATAACTGTTCAATAGGGGAAGGCCTTACTGTCAGAGCATGGGGAATCCTGGGAGAACAGAAACAGGACTACATCCCATTGCACACTGTCCTGAACAACACTGACCTAAAACCACTCTCCGAACTCACCGACACACAACCTCCAACCTTCCAGCAGTCTTTCCGATACACTCAATTGAGACATTTCTATCAATCGTTTGGCGATAAATCAGCCTTACACAGGGCCCTAACGCCATTCGAGAACTTATGCCTAACCAAAACTAGCATTGGCAGAGCAATTTCCTATCTCTACCAATACATCCTCACGGAAGACCACACGTTCAAGGCGCAATGGGAATACATTGTGGGCCAGGAGATTGCCCCGAACCAATGGGAAAAAAATACTCATCCTACACCATAAATCTTCAGTGAGTTCCCGATACCAAGAAGTCAACTATAAACTCCTGTCCCAATGGTACAAAACTCCACCACGCCTACACAGGATATTCCCCAACATCTCGGACACATGCTGGAGGTGCGGAGGAGGAGAGGGCACTTTGAGACACATCTGGTGGGACTGCCCAAACATACAGCCATTCTGGAACCAAATTAACGAAAATATCACAGAGATTCTCCGGGAATCGATCCCATTAAATATAGAGCAGTACTTGCTACATTCAACACCTAGCCCAATCTCACAATATAAAAAATCCATTGTAAGACAGCTGGACACGGCCAAGGCACTTATACCCACAATGTGGAAACAGACACAATCCCCAACACTGACCCAATGGTACGACAGAGTAGAGGAGAAACGCTCAGCAGAGAGCGTGAGGGCGTCCCTCACGGGACAGACCGAAAAGTACGTTGAAAGGTGGGGGCCGTGGCTGGGGTATGTCGCTGGGAGGCGGGAAAGAGGGCAGATGCTGCCAGGCGCACCGACCCGGTGGGTGGGGGGAGTGATGGGAGACGCACATGCTCGATAAAGACGTGATTAACACGAAGTCAGACACTTGACCGAAAGGGAACAGGGATTTAAGCCTGACAACTAGACCACAGGAAATGACCAAGAAATGCTAACCGACCCAAGACCGGATATAAGGGGTGACGGGGGATAAAGGAACCAAAGCACAACACCTCTACAACACAACAAGTGATAGAGATGGCCAAGAAAACACAATCACGAAGGAGACACACATATCAACATGGATCCAAAAGGACACAAAGACACATCAGAACTAGCAATCAGCTGTTGGAAATAGCAAAACTCGCACATCACAGGACTGCAGACGTATTGAAAGTAGCTCAGAGAATCCGCATCCCACTGGACACACACATCACAACAGCAGCTAGACGATCCAAGTAACAGACAAAGAACACTCCCCCCACCCAACATGCTGACAACTCGACCCCAGAAATCTAGACACATATGTATGACTAACAAACAACAATCGCCTACACCACGACTTAAATTGACACTACCCGACAAAACATACAAATCAAAAAGATGATAGTGCCCTATATGGCTCTGTCAGGGGTCCGCGGGCGGCTGTGAGGGGAGGCTGCACGCCACTTGCAGCACTCACCCTCAGTCCGTCGCGGTCTCCCCTCCTCCTACCTGTCGGCGAGCAGCGTCTCCTCTCCGCTGCTCGCCGCTCGCGTCCTCCACGCCTCCCAGCGGCAGCATGTATAACGCTGTACGCTGGGAGGTCGCAAATTTATGCAAACGCAAGGGTCACTCACGTGACCCGGCGTTAAAGCAACAGTACCACAATCACAGTGGGAGGCGTAGATATCTCCCACGTGTGATTGTTATCCAATCAGAATTAAGCAAAGGGTATTTATACTTACCTTTCCTGTCTCTCAGTGCCCTGTTGTGGTCTTGTGATACCTGTATTGCAGTTTGCTCGTGTTGCTCTCTGGTTACTGATTATTTGGCTCGTTATTCCGATTTTCCTGTATTCTGCACTCCTTTGACCTCGGCTTGTTTCTTGTTCTCCCGTTTTTTTGCTCCCTTTACTTGGTTTGTCTCCTGACTATTCTTAGTGTGCTTAGCCCGGCCACTCTAAGGACCGGTATAGCATCTTTCCTCTCTGTGACCTGTTAGCAACAGGGCCACCATGGAACCTGCTGACATCCCACAGTTGTTAGTAAATCAGGAGGCTAGAATGGATGGTTTAGACCACCGTATGGATCACTTTGCTCAGGCTTTACAAACCATGCTGGCTCGTACTGCCCACTTGCAACCTGCCGTTCAAGAAGCTGTTGCTGCTGTGCCAGAACCCATTCCTGATCCAGTACCCGCTCCTGCTCACGTGGTTCACATGACGCCACCTCAGCGCTATAGCGGTGATCCAGCATTGTGCCGTGGTTTCCTCAACCAAATTGATATTCATTTGGTGATGAATCCTCGTTCCTACCCCACTGACAAAACCAAAATTGCTTTTCTGATCAACCACTTGTCCGGGAAAGCTCTAGCATGGGCTAATCTCATGTGGGAGAATACGTCCCCAATGTCCTTCGCATTCTTTTTGACAGCTTTTAAACGTACATTTGATCAACCCGGCAGGGTTGCTTCTGCTGGCAAAGCTCTGCTTAGGGTCCGACAGGGTAATAGATCTGTAGCGGATTATACCATTGAATTCCGCACTCAGGAGGGTTTGGCCGCTTACATACTTGATGAAATAGCATCCAGGGAATTGCCTGTTCTTCTGGATGATGTAATAGATTATACCATTCTTATTGACAACCGTTTTAGAGCGAGGCGTAGTCAAAGAAGGATGAATACACAGGGGTTACCTGCTTTACCCAGTACTGCATTACTAGCATTACCTCCCCCTAATCAACCACCTCCCGAACCCATGCAATTAGGTGCTGTAGGCTTAACTGAAGCTGAAAGAACATATCGCAGAAGGGAGGGCTTGTGCCTTTATTGTGGAAAGAGGGGGCATCTCAGAAGAAACTGTCCTAGTTTGCAGGGAAACTTCAGCACCTAAGGCCTAGAGAGGGGTTGGCCTCGGGTGTTATGGTTTTTTCCCCTCATGTGTCCATCTCCAGACCATTTATTACGGTTATTCTTTTGGTCAATCAAACCACTATAACAACTAAAGCCTTGATCGATTCAGGTGCTGCAGACAACTTTATGGATGAGAACTTTGCAAAAACCGCAGCCTTGCCTCTGATCCAAAAGGCCACACCCTTGGCCGTTGAGGCCATAGATGGTAGACCACTTGATAAACCTCTGGTGACCCATGAAATCCATGAAATGGTTATGGCCGTGGGTGCCTTACACACGGAAAGGTTAACCTTCCAAATAATTGACTCCCCTACAGCTTCCATCGTTCTGGGCTTTCCCTGGTTAGTTAAGCATAAACCGGTACTTGATTGGGGATGTTTAGATATACTCTCCTGGGGGGAATCTTGTCAACAAGACTGTATGGCCCGGTTCCGTTTGCTTACTTAATGTGCCTACAGCTAAACCACTTTCTGTTTCTGTCCCTCATGTGTATGCAGACCTCGCATTGGTCTTTGAAAAAAGGGAGGCTGATAAACTACCTCCAGACCGGGATTATGATTGTGCCATAAACCTGTTACCTATGTACTATGCCTTTCTGAGAAAGAAAACCAGGTCATGGAGGAGTACATACAGGAATCCTTACGTAAAGGTTTTATTAGAAGGTCCTCCTCTCCGGCTGGTGCTTGTTTCTTTTTTGTTGCCAAGAAAGAGGGCAATTTGAGGCCATGTATAGACTACAGGGGCCTGAATAATATAACAATTAAAAACGCTTATGCTATCCCTCTCATCACTGAGTTGTTTGACCGTGTTAAAGGTTCTAGATATTATACTAAACTAGACCTCAGGGGGGCTTATAACTTGGTTCGTATAAAAGAGAATGATGAATGGAAAACAGCGTTCAATACACGCAGTGGGCATTACGAGTATCTAGTCATGCCTTTTGGACTGTGTAATGCTCCTGCTTTGTTTCAGGACCTCATAAATGATGTCCTTAGAGATTTACTGCATGTCTGTGCCGAGGTTTATCTCGATGATATACTTGTATATTCTCCTGATTTGGAGTCACATCATGCCCATGTGAGGATGGTACTTAAGAGATTGCTGCAGAACGGTCTTTATTGTAAATTAGAGAAATGTTTATTTGACCAAAAATCAGTACAATTCCTAGGGTACGTCATTTCTGAACAGGGATTCAGCATGGATCCTTCCAAATTAAAAGCCATATTGTCTTGGCCTCTTCCCCAAGGCCTTAAGGCGATTCAGCGATTTATAGGCTTTGCCAATTATTATCGGAGGTTTATTAAAAACTTTTCATCAGTCATTTCTCCTATCACGAAACTGACTAAAAAGGGTTTGCACCCCAGGGTTTGGACTCCTGAAGCCGTTAAAGCCTTCGAGACTCTCAAAAAGGCATTTGCCACTGCCCCAGTGCTACACCATCCTGATCCTTCCCTTCCCTTTGTTATGGAAGTAGACGCTTCAGAATCAGGTGTAGGAGCTGTATTATCACAAAGACTATCGCATAACGAACCCCTCCATCCCTGTTGTTACTTTTCTAAAAGGCTGTCTGATTCGGAAAATAATTACGACGTTGGGAACAGGGAACTATTAGCTATTGTGATGGCTTTTAAAGAATGGAGGTACTTATTAGAAGGAGCTAGACACAAAATCCTGGTCATAACTGATCATAAGAATCTCTCCTATATAGCAGATGCTAAAAGATTGTCCTCTCGTCAAGCCAGATGGTCTTTATTTCTTTCACGCTTTCAGTTCATTATCACATATAGGCCTGGGTACCGTAATGTCAAGGCTGATGCTATCTCCAGACAATACGAACCTTTGGAGTCAATTGCCCCCGCTCCTGAACCCATTGTACCTACATCTAAGATAATAGCTGCTACCCATTTGGTTATTTCGTGTCTTTTCCTTGATGGTATCAAGACATACCAATCACAAGCACCCTCTGAGACACCTGTTGGTAGATTATACGTGAAAGAAAAAGATAGAAAGAAATTGTTAGCTTTATTTCACACCGCCAAAACGGCTGGTCACCCAGGGGTTACCAAAACATACAAGGGTCTCCTTCAACAATTTTGGTGGCCCTCACTTAAGCAGGACGTAGTGGATTATGTGCAGGCTTGTCGTGTTTGCGCACAGTGTAAGTCCCCTAATGTTAAACCCCTGGGACTCCTAATGCCTCTATCCGTGCCTAAGAAACCATGGACCCACTTATCCATGGACTTCATTGTAGATCTTCCTTCATCTGGTGGACAGACAGTAATTTTGACGGTGACTGATAGGTTCTCTAAAATGGCACACTTTATTCCATTTAAGAAACTACCTTCTGCGGTTCAGTTGGCTCAGGTATTTGCCAAAGAGGTGTTCCGCTTGCATGGTATACCACAGGATATCGTATCCGACAGGGGTCCTCAATTTGTCTCTCGGTTTTGGAGGGGCTTTTGTGCTGAGATGGGGATCTCCTTGTCATTTACGTCCTCCTATCATCCACAATCTAATGGAGCTGCCGAACTGGCAAATCAATCTGTAGAGTTATATTTACGCTGCTTCACGAATGCGCATCAGGACAACTGGTCTCGCCTCCTTCCCTGGGCTGAATTCGCCAGGAACACCGTGACTCATTCGTCCACTGGCTTAAGTCCTTTTATGATTTCTTATGGGTTTCAACACTCTGTCCTTCCCGGCATGTTCTCTGACAAGGGAATACCCGCTTTGGACGAGCACCGCGTCAGAGGGGGGCAGGGTCCAGCTCCGCACAGTGGAGTGCCGAACCTGGAAGTGTTACCGCATGACACCTATGGACTATTCTTGGTTTCTCCGTTAAAATTTCCTTCTGGGTAGGGTCTTGCAACAGAATATGCCAATTTCTCTGTATTATACACTTGTGAGTATACTCCTACTTGTAATAAGCTGTAACTCACTTTTAGTGGACCTTTTTTCTATTTTGATTACTAAAGTTACATATGAAAGGGATACTGCTTGGATGTGCATTATTTTGATTTACTTTTGGTTTATACTTTAATACATCCTCTCTATTTCTTGATTTTATTTCTGTTCTCGCCAATTCTAACTTATCTTCCTCGTACCTTTTTGTAAAAAAAAAATCACTTTTTATCTTAAGAGATAGTTCTTCCTATATTGTCTGATCCGTACAATTTCTCCTTATGCGGAGAAATTGTCCTTTAGGGGCATTCTCCAGCCAAGGGGAATAGTGGTATCCACTGGCTTTAAGTGGTTTTTAGGGGGGGCGTGGCCGAGCCGTCAATGAGACTGGACGTGTTTCGGTAGAGCTCCGCAGCAACTGTGCCTAAAGCATTCAAAAGCGACCTCAAAAATCGATAAACTACCCCTCACGGGAACCTCCGACATGGAGAAGAGACCCCCTAAGAAGGAGGGGGAAAAAACGGCCGAAATTGGGACCTCCAGCTCCGTCCTAGACCACTTCCCCATGCACAAACAAGGCCGTGCAGGAAGTCAAGATGGCGACGGGAGCTCCCCACAAATATCACCGAGGGCGGCCAGGGAAGCCCCACTCCATGACCAAGATACCGTTTTGGCCAAACTCGCTGAAGTCAGGGCCTTCTTGGCAGGAGAAATAGCCAACTCAACGGCAATTCTCCAAACAGAGATAGGGGCCCTGGGAAAACGCACGGCCATCTTGGAAGAGCGCATGGAGACCACAACGCTAGCCCACAACTCGCTTATAGATCGAGTAAACCGTATGACCTCACATCTGGTGGAAACCGACCTAACATTGGAAGATATGGCCAACCGGTCACGGAGAAATAACCTCCGCATTCGGGGCCTCCCTGAGGAGAAAGACGAGGATTTAAAGGGGATACTATTCTCTGCCCTGAAGCCTCTCCTGCCCGCCTTATCGGAGGAACAGTGGCACATGGAAAGGGCACATAGAGCCCTGAGACCTCAGAAGATCGACACCAACACCCCGCGGGACGTAATCGTCCGCTTCCTATACTATAGCACGAAGGAAGCGCTGATGGGGAAAAGCCGAGATGTACCGTTACGGTACGCAGGGGCCACATTATCCTTATACCAGGATCTGGCACCGTCGACACTTCAACGACGACGAGAGTGGAGGCCTATCACAGCAGCCCTACGAGACGCAGGTCTGAAATATGCCTGGGGATTCCCCTTCAAGCTTATGGTGTTCCGGGGAGACCGCTCACATATCCTGATGCCGGGAGGGGATCCCCAACGTTTCTTTAGGAACCTCGGCCTACAACCACCCCCCCGACTTCCAGATATCTCTCTGCACCCTACCGAGCTTCAACAACTACAGACAGAGTGGCAAGAAGTCGGAGCTAGAGGCCATCGCTGAAGCACTGTGGGTATCGTATAATACATACATCACACAACACCATCCACCGCCTTATACCCCACCTCATATTCCACGGAGACTGTTCAGTTTAAACTAGTTCTCCCCTCGCTGTGATGAGGGCCGACACTAGCCCCCTTTTTCGTACTCTGACTGGAACTCTCAGGGGTTTTACATCGAAACCTGCCCTGGCTAGTCCCCCTTTTCAGCCAATCCTCCATTCTTGTTTTAACTGTAGGTTCAATATTATGTTACTTTATGTTACATGCCAGTGTCCTACTTTAAATTGTCGAGGAGGCTAATACGGGAGGGGGTCTGCCCCCCTCGCGACTTGCTTTGGGAGGGCTGTGGGGGGTACCGCAATAGGCTTCAAGCAGCCCTTTACAGGACTCAACCTGACAGCTGATCCCGCAGGCTGTGGGGGCCCCCGGGACTTTTACCAAGGTGGAGGTTTCATTGACACCCAGGCCTGGTGGGAACCGGATCCGCCTAATTTTTTGGCGTGTAGGCCTGCATCAGACTACATCATCTCATCATTATTTCTCTAAACCACAGTAATATTGCATGTCCCTTGATATTCTGAACCCTGTTACTATTCACGATCCTCTACCTACTGTCCGGGGGGGAAAGGGAAAAAGAAGGAAAAAAAAAAAAGGGGAGGGAGGGGGGAAAGGAGTGTTGTTGATGTTTTATACATATGTAATGTTATGATGGGGTACATTAGATAGATAGAGGTGAAAATCGTTTTGGTTACCTATACTTTACCCAAGTTATAACCACCCCAGACTCTTACCCATGTCGGGTACCATTCTTTAGTCCTATCTAAAACCCTACCGCTGTAATGATCTCATCGATCTCCCCCCCCCTCCCCGTCCCGTGGTTTTCCTCGGAGATCCTTCTCCCGCGACACCATGCTCCCTCTATACAGTGGCAGGCTCCCAACATCTATCACCCCTGATACTACATATATATAGCAGAGAAAGAGGGGGGACCATACTCTTACAAAATTTCACACATACACCCAAAAGAAAAAGGAAAAGAGGAGGGGAAGAAAAAAAAACAAAAAACAAAAAAAACAATAAATATATATAATTAATTAATTATTTTCTAGGACCACTAAGACGCTGAATCTGTCTTCGATCCCCTCTGAGCCTGTCCTCCTAACCACCTACCAGGCGACCCTCCCTACATGGGAAGTACCCCCGATAGGAACCAGGACAAATCGGTTATACCCTCACATGCATGACCATACTGACACTACCAACCCGTGATCCCACGAACACCAACATCACACAATAGACGCATAGGATTGTAACGGTCAGGGTAGCACTTCCTGTATGTATATATCTTCACACCTAACCACATGGAAGAAAAAAAGGGGGGTGGTCGGATAAACACCTTGGGAAGAGACACCGGACAATTACAACGCGACCTCATTGACTGAACGCCTGAGAGATAGCGTAGGAACTGGAGAGTCCCGCCTTGAGAGGGGGGGGATACGGGGCGGGGAGAAGGGGATCAGGGACGGAAAGAACCCTGCTGATCGCGCCCCCCAAACACCCACACATTAATAACCAGGAAAGACTGATAGAGGGGTCCCGATAGGACAAATCCCTAGTCATATACTACCTCGGATAAGAGAAATAAGAGGTCAAATTACATTGTGTAGGCGCACGCGTGACGGAACCCACATATCCCTAATCCCTTCTTACGTTGATCGTGGACGGGATGAAGGAACATGCTCCCAGAAAAACCCTGGCAAAGAGTAAGACCAGAGTTTCTACATCTATACATCTGACTCGATTCGGATGTCTTTCTTCTTCTTCTTCTTTACTATCCTCTCTTTTCTCCCCTATTTTTGTGTGGTGCGACCTGGAGGAGCGACGGAGGCGGGGGGGTGCCCGGGGAGGCGCAGGACATGACACTGAGCCAGACGTGGAAGGACCCAGGTTCCCGAACGGCTATAAAAGACCTAACCAAACACGTCGCGATGATTAAAATCACGTCATTGAATGTTAAAGGAATTAATGCTCCTAAGAAGCGCCGCCTTATGTTTAAGGAACTAAAGAGACTGAAGACGGACATTGCCTACATCCAGGAAACCCACCTCTCGAAACAAGCCAATGTAAACCTAAAAGACCACATCTTTCGAGGATCATGTGAAGCAAGATCACAATGCAAACGCAACGGAGTAGCTATTCTGATCAGAAACAGCTGCCCGTTTCGCAAGACGACCCATGAAACAGACCCAGACGGCCGATACATTATAGTATCAGGCATCTTGTACTCACATACCATACACCTGGTCAACGTGTATGCCCCTAACCAACCAGACCCCTCGTTCTGGACCACCCTCCGAGAGAAAATCTCCTTACTTCCACATGGCATGGTCTATATGGGAGGAGACTTCAACGCCACCCCATGCCCGGCAGCGGACAGGAGCACTAAAGACGGAACACCGAGATCCCATGGCAGGGGGGGACAAGACCGACTGCTCAAAAAATTTATACTAGACGTGGGTTTAACAGATGTATGGCGAGCGCACCACCCAGGAGACAGGGACTACTCCTTCTACTCAACACCTCATGGCACATACTCCAGGATAGACTTATTCCTAACTAACGCGACAGGCATGCCCAGGATTACAGGTTCTGCGATTGGCAATATATCATGGTCTGACCATGCGGACGTGTCCATTACGTTGGGCAACTTATGCTTGGCCTCGCCGTGGACGTGGAGACTAAACACATCGCTACTAAGAGACCCGGAACTCAAGGAACAGATACGGACTGAAATAGTGGAATATTTCACCACAAATAATACCCCGGATGTTAGCGCAGGGTCAATATGGGCGGCCCATAAAGCTGTTATAAGAGGGACCCTTATAAAACTAGCCACTAGGAAGAAGAAGATGAAACATAAACAACTGGAGACCCTGTTAGATCAATTAAGGAATCTTGAACAGAAACATCAAGCAACACCCGACAATGAGATCTATAAGAAACTGGTAGCGGTTCGGAGGGACATCCGCACACTCTTACTGGACGATACCGCCCAATCCATGATCTGGACGAAACGGACTTATTACGAGAAATCCAATAAGACGGACTCACTTCTGGCCCGAACACTGCGACCTAGACAAGAACGATCCCACATCACGGCCATCAAACATCCGGATGGAACGACGAAATCAAGACCAGACGAGATAGCCAAAGTCTTTGAAGACTTTTACAAAAAACTGTACAACCACACACCTGACGCACACACTCCTGACGGAAGTGAAGAAGACCATATTAACAGCTACTTAAATAACCTCGGCCTGCCCAAACTAGGGAGAGACGCGGTGGCCAATTTGTCAGCCGAAATTACAGAGGAAGAAGTACATAGAGCCATATCTACCTTGAAAGGTAACAAAGCTCCAGGCCCGGATGGGTTCGAAGGTACATACTACAAAACCTTCAAAGAAGAACTTACACCCCAACTAATGAAACTCTTTGACTACATGAAACAGGGGGGACTCCTCCCTCCAGACATGACCCTAGCTACCATAGTATTGATACCTAAACCTGACAAAGACACACTCCAACCAGGAAACTACAGACCCATATCATTGATTAATCAAGATCTAAAAATAATAGCAAAAATACAAGCTGACAGATTAAATCCGCTACTAAACTCACTCGTCCATGCCGACCAAGTAGGCTTTATTCAGGGCAGACAGCTGTTTGAGAATACCAGAAGGAATATTGACCTAATCTGGAAACAAATGACATCTAAAATCCCTACCCTAGTGGTTTCTATAGATGCAGAAAAGGCCTTTGATAGGGTGAGATGGCAATTCCTCTTTGCGGTACTAAACCACCTAGGGTTCCCGAAAGAATTTATAACTACTACAAAAGCAATGTACCATGAGGTGAGAGCACAGATACAGATCACTGGTGCCCCGATGACGCCTTTTCGACTCTACAATGGCACTAGGCAGGGGTGCCCACTCTCCCCACTCCTGTTTGTACTAGCGCTAGAGCCTTTGATGCAAGCGATTAGACAACATCCAGATATTGGAGGAGTTCGAGTAGGGGACAAAAAGTTTACAGTCTCAGCATACGCAGACGACGTTCTTTTGACCATCACGAACCCCTCGACGTCTGTGTCGGCCCTCCAAGACGTTATCAAGGACTACGGGGAATGGTCTGGCTATAAGGCCAACATGCAAAAATCTAGCGCTATGCCGATTGGCATGACTGAGACAGACATAAATCACATACAACTGACCTACCGTATCAGGATGGAAAGAGAGTCTATGAAATACCTGGGTATACATCTAACTACGGACCCGACACACCTCTACTCCGAGAACTATGGCCCCCTAATTAGGAAGTTGATAGGAGACTTAGAAAGGTGGTCTGATAAACCTATCTCCTGGATAGGACGAATTAACTCTGTTAAAATGAACGTCCTCCCGAGGATTTTATTCTTATTCCAAGCTCTCCCAATTCATGTCACCAAAGCACAACTGAACCCACTTCAACGGTCGATAGCTGACTTCATATGGCAGAACAAGAGGCACAGGATATCAAGACAGATACTCTACAGACGAAAAGAAAGAGGGGGACTGGGCCTCCCAAATCTATACTTCTATTATCTTGCAGCCCAACTAACACAGATAGCTATGTGGCATTCCCCTCCGGAAGAGCGGAGATGGGTCGAAATAGAATCCATGATGGTGGGATGGGACATCCCCCAGTTCACTATGTGGATCCCGAAAGACTATCGACCCTTGATACGGGTGACTTGCCCGTCCATACTTAATTCGCTCCAAATCTGGGACAAAAACAGAACCAAGTACGGACTGGCGACCTCCCCCTCTCCATTGACTCCAATTCTAAGAAATAGAGAGTTCCAACCCGGTATGGCCCCTAAAGATTTCCGAAACTTGGAGAGAACGGGTCTACAACGGATCCATCAATTATATCATAATGGGAACTTAATCCAATTTACGGACCTCCAACAAGATAACCACCTAACTCCCGCAGATTTCTTTAGATATATACAAATTCGAGACTTCGCTAGGAAACCACACATAAAGGCTGCAGCTCAGGGAAATATGACGTTCTACGAGAAACTATGCCTTCACGAAAGGACCCCCAAGGGCATGATAACCCTAATGTACGCCCATCTTAGCACAGAAACCAAAGAATGGGGGAGACTATCTTACACCGACCAATGGGAGATAGAACTAGGAGAAGAACTAGAAGGCATAGAATGGCAAGAAATTTGGGAAGCAAATAAAAACGCCTCCATATGTGTTACGCTACAAGAACAGACATGGAAGACCATGTTTAGGTGGTACACAACCCCAGTAAAACTTTATAAAATGCATAAAACGGACACCGATGATTGCTGGAGGGGATGTGGAGCCCGAGGTACATACCTTCACATGTGGTGGGAATGCCCCAAACTTTTTGGATTCTGGAAAGAGACAGAAAACCTACTGAAACAAACATTTAATAAACCCCTGACCAGAGATCCATGGGTATACCTCCTAAACAGATCGGTGGACGGATGGACCAAGAGAGAACAGAAACTAGTTCATAAAATAACCCTGAGCGCAAGGAAAACAATAGCGACGAGATGGCTTTCACCAGACTCACCCGAGTTTCCGATAGTGATATCCAGGATCCGCGAATGTAGGATCATGGACGACTTAACAGCGAGAGTAAAGGGATCGACAGAAACATTTCTAAAACTCTGGGAACCATGGGATAACAGCGTAATAGGCTCTAGAGAGGACAGATAGGAATAAACGAAAGATGTAAAGGGGTCCTTACAGTAGAGCTAAACCAGTGGCAGAATCCTCCTACACAGAGATCCAACCGACACACTTGGCCTAGGGAGATCGGGATGAACCTGCTGCCCCCCCCCGCCGCTTTCTTCACGTACCTCCCTCGCCACCTCTAGGTCACTGCAGCCACCACACAATCCTCCCTTACCTTATACCACTTTCTCAGTCTCCCCTTCTTTCTTTTTTCTTAATTCTTATCTTTTCTCTCCCCGCGCCTATACGGGGAAAATCCATTTCATATCCGCTACTTACTTTGCATACCAACCTCCTCAGACAAGGTCAACGTAACGAACGTAAGGGGAACCCTAGTTACCCCAGATAAACCTCAGACCATTAATCCCCTACGTATATCAAAGGACCTATAAACATCAAACTACGGATTAGATAATAACAATATAGCTATATTGATAACGACACAGGACTTACACGATATATAAAACATTATATAGCTCATCGGTAGACCTCAAATTACCGCTGGGCCAGGGACGTTTCCCTCCCACACCTAAGTATCCTAGACAAACCGATAAACTATACTGGGGAATTACACTATTAAAAATCCTTTAAAGAGGATAACCCCCCATGGATCCTTTAAATACGAACACATACTGTAAAGATTGAAGTTCATGTGACTGTTAAGATGTTACCCATACTTTGGCTTCTGCGTAAGCCCAATCGTTGATACTTGGTCATAATAGATGCAGCTACTAAGTTCAATGTAGCACTTGCTAACAATGTGTGAAATGGAAGGTTAAACCTACTTGCTTTCTTGAGTTTACTTTTGTTTATTAAAAAATACAAAAATTCCTTGACGGACAGAGACGATGAAAGCAATAATGTATAGCACGCTTTGTTACAGGATGTCTTATTTGAAATTAAGTACATGTACATGACTTACTCTATGGCTTCTGCGTAAGCCTGTAAATTAATGTTGTATCATTTTGTCCGCCAAGATGGAAAAATAAAGAATTAAAAAAAAATAAAAAAAAAATTAAGTGGTTTTTAGTTTTAATCTTACCTTCCTCTATATAGATGACAAAGTCTAAAAGAATTACATCTGTCTTACTCCAAACACTATTTAGTTCTATGCCCCAGGTATTATTATTGAGGAATGTTAGGGAAGTTAACAGTTTTTCCTCCGTACCCTTCTATATGAAGAAAATATCACCTAAATAACGGCCATATGATACCAAGTCTGCCTCCCAGCCATGCTGCCCATATATAAAAGAATCTTCCCAATAGGCCATAAATAGGTTGGCATAGCTGGGTGCAAACTTGGTACCAATGGCCGTGCCCTTTTCTTGAATAAAGAAGTCATTGTCATACCAAAAATAATTATTGTATAATATCAATTCTATCCCCTCAATCAAAAATTCTGTTTGATCTGATAAAAGGTTTTTATTATTTTCTAAAAATACCCTCACTGCTTCACAGCCTCTGGAGTGGGGAATGTTGCTATACAATGCCGTGATGTCACTGGTTACTAGAAAATAATTGCCTTGCCAACTACAATTTTCAATAAGGTTCAGAACCGCTGTGGTATCTCTAATGTAAGACTTGGTTGTCTGTACTATCAGTTGAAGTTGGACATCTATATATTCCGATATTCAACTCGATATGGCATCTATGCCTGCAATTATTGGTCTTCCTGGGGGGTTCTGCAAGTTCTTATGAATCTTCGGCAAGAAATAAAATACCGGAATATTAGGACGCTTCACATTCAAATATTCATATTCCTTTCTATTTAAGATTCCTCTAGAATTACCTTTTTCTAAAAAAGATGCAAATTTCTCTTTAATTGTATTTGTAGGGTCTCCTAGTATTTTCCTATACGTGCTGCTATCACCTAAAATTCTTTCGGCTTCACTCTCGTAACTAGATCTAGACATAAGGACTATCCCCCCTCCCTTATCCGCCGGTTTGATCACTATATTAGGATCTTCTTTTAAATCTTTTAAAGCCTGCCTTTCCTTAAAATTTAGATTATCCTTAAATTTAGTCTTATCTTTAATTTCATTGATTTCAGACATGACGACCGTTTCAAAAGCCATCATCTGATCTGAGATCATCTGCCTCTGGAAAAATGTGGATTTCTCCTTTAACTCTGTATGTTTAAAAGTTGTGACGTTCATAGTCCTTTCAATGGGATTTTTTTGAAAATATTGCTTAAGGCATAAGTTTCTCTTGAACCCATTAAGGTCTATATAAAATTTGGAATTTGTTTAAATTCTCGCAAGGTGCGAATTTTAATCCTTTTTCAGAATTCTTACCTCTTCCACTTTGAGTTCTCTTTGACTCAGATTAAAAATCCCACTGTTGTCTAGAGGTTCTACCTTCACTCTCTCTTTTCCCTGTTGAGTTCTCTGTCCCCCTCTTTTCCCTCTCCTTCTATAGATCTCCTCCTTTTTGTATGCATAGGTGGACTCAATCTATCTCTGGTTTGTTCTTGGTTCTCAGCCTTCCTATCTGAAAAAACCTGTTCATCACTTTCTAGTGGTTGATATCTATTGTATATTGTTACTTCTCTATTATTTTAAATCATATGTCTATGATTAGGTGGTCTATAGGGGGTGTGATCTCTCTCTCTTCGTCTATAGGTATCCTTTGCATTATCTCTAAAGGTATTTCTATAACTCTGTTCATCATATTGCTTGCCATTATAATGTGGAGTGCAGTCTCTTTCTTTGATAGGGTTTGATTGGTTTATCTTGTCTAGTCCAATTATCCCTCCTTCGCCTATTGAAGTAATTTCTCTTTTCCTGACATTATTCATGGCAGCATTTACTCATGGGTTAGCTCCTCCCCTCACAGCAGAAAGGACAGGAAATAGAACTCTGAAACTGGTATAAATAGATCCTCCCCCTTCCCATCAGGCAGTCTTTTTTCCTGTCCTTCACAGCAGTTTGGAAGGAGTCTGCTTATGCAGGCCTAGATTTTCTTTTATGCTCACCAGGCAATATTTTTGTAGCCATGCCGGGGTTCAGCCTCTAAGCCCTGAAGACCCAGCAAGGCACTATTGTTAATACTGCAAACCTGGGTACCCCCTTTAGTGACCGGGGGTCGGACCCAACCTCTCCCTTAAGGGATGAAAATGGTCCACTGCATGCCAGGGTTCAGCCTCTTATCCCTGAAGACCCAGCAACAGGCCAGCTTGGGTACCCCCTCAGGGGATGAATGCGATATGCTGCCTTCATGAAGCCAGGCCTGGGTTCAGCCTCTTATCCCTGAAGACCCAGCAACAGCCCAGTTTGGGTACCCACTCAGGGGATGAATGTGATATATTGCCTACATAATACCAGGCCAGGGTTCAGCCTCTTATCCCTGAAGACCCAGCAAACAGCACATCTGTAACAGTTGCCAGCCTGGGTACCTCCTTCAGCAATCAGGAGTCTGACCTATCTCTCTCCCTGAGGGGATGACAGCGGTCCACTGCATACATGAGGCCCAGCCGAGTCTAAGCCTTTATTCTTGAAGACCCAGTAAACAGCACTTCCATAAGGTGACTACCTGGGTATACCTATTCTTGGTGTTCCACCTTGTATGGGGTTGGTTAAACCTCCTCCCACTGGTGATGATGGACTGCATATGGGGTACAGATGGAAGCCTATAGTTTAAACAGTTTAGGCTGTCAGTTGTTCAAAGCCCCATTTTGCTGTTGAAACACAGGCCTGCAGCTGTTCAGGTAAGTGTCACTGTATATAGCAGAGGTACGCTATTACTATTTGAACAGACTCAGTATATGTAACTGATATATCTGTGTATAAGGTGCTGTTAGAAACATCCACAATGTATGTGATTCATATAATCTGTATGCAGGTTGGTAGTATTAGATAACCCTAATTTATACACGGCATTGATATTTAATATATACAAATGATCTAAGGTCTGGGTTTTGCGCTGAAATGTAGCACTGCCTAATTTTAGCAAATACAAATGCACTGTTATACTGGGTAAGTAATTATTGCCTCCTGTGGATTTTCTATTTCAGTTTTTTTAAATGAAGTGGATAAGGAAACATACTGCTTTTGGCTTTTTATTAGATTCCTTCTCCCACAGGTGTTTCGGGATAAGCAATTAACACATTTTACCACTTCAGATGGATTGCAGGTGTTACTGAACCTGCCTGAGTGCCTCTCCCAGGAGACAAGGAGACCTGAATTTCCAAAATGGAGCATGGTACTGTTTAACAAAATTAAGGCCTTTTTTGTGTGCACTCCTATGTATTTATACATGAGACCATTTCTGAGAAGTTTTTCTATTGCCAAGTATCCTCTCTTATCAAGATAAGGAATGTTTTGGTGGCAGTGTTTTATCTTCAGATATATGCTGTTACTGATGCACAGCTTAGAAGATCATGCTGGTTGCAGGAGCACAAATTGGGCTATTAATCGTTCTCATAAGTAGGTAACTCTGAAGCTATTACCTGATTTAAAAAGCTGTTCATATTGGCTTGTTTCTCTCCTGGTCATAACTTTAGTATCATTTTATTTTTCCGCAAACTTCTACTCTGAAGAATTCACTACTTCTGGTCTGGTTTGTGCTCTGGTTCTGGTTCTCTGGAATTGGTTTAACATATTCTTTAGAACTGCGTACCTTTCCTAAAAGTATAATCTTTATAATTTGGAGAATGTACTAATTTTTTATATGCAGTATTCTCTTTTATCCCTTGGGGACCTGAGAGTTTGGCAATCCCTTTAGGATATGTCAGGGGTAGCATGCTTTTTGTTCTTAAGGAATTAATGTTCAGAAATTTCTGACAAGATTCCCTTGTGGTGAAAGGGTATATTATAATTTCCTTTCTGCAATTAAATGTATTCTTTTATGCTCATATGATCCAGGTAAGTTTTTGATACTTGGTATTGCAAGTATTGTAATTGACACTGGAAGGTCTTTCTAGTCCTCAGGCCATTCTACCAGGTTTACTATTTCAAGTAAAATTCACCTGCTATCAGAACAATAGAGGAAATCCCTTAACAGGTAACTCCATTACGGTCCTCTCTTCTGATCTTCATGGGGATTCTTCTAGTGGTCCTTATATCTGGAATTTGCAACCGAGGTGTGGCTTTAAGTGGTTGATTCATCCTACATAATATAATGTAATGCAGCTTGTTGATGACAAACATTTGACTGATATGTTTTTCATGGTCTCTGTACCTAGATCGGTATAAGTTATGGTCACTCCTAACATTGCATTGATTTAATACTTATGGATTATATACTTGTATTGGTGTTGATATCTTGCAGATAATACAAACTGCTTATTATCGCCATAAGCTCTGCCATAGTACTTCGCTACCTGAAGATAAGGTAAGAATAATACAAACTGCTTATTATCGCCATAAGCTCTGCCATAGTACTTCTTCGCTATCTGAAGATAAGGTAAGAGTAAGTATGCAGTTGTTTGTTCTCATAAGGATAACTGAATATCTTCTACTATCCTGATTATGTGTCGGTTGCCACAATGGATCATGTGCCTCTGGTTACCACCTTCTCATCAGTATCCTGCCGATTACATATCTCCTACTTATGTTACACAACGGTCTCTAATAAATTTGATTATACTGTTTGGCATAATCTGTACTATTTACAATGTTTCTTTGAATGTAGGTACTGACGTGATTGTCCTACTTATAATTTAGGAGTTTACACAAATTCCACGGTTCATACCGATGTCTCTTTTTTCTTTCTTTAACTAATCTGTATATGACTCTTCTTGCCCTTGCCTAGTAATGTCATTGGTTTATACCTCTCCTGTGCCTGATCATTATTGTATCAATTCATCCACGGTGTGAGGTATTGTTGTGAGTCTGATTTTTGCAATATATATGTGTATGTGTGTATATATATATATATATCATTCATTATTGCAGTGTTTTAATAACACTTATTTCTCTACTAGGCTCTGCCTCTTTCTGACAGGCAGGTATTGATTTATTTCCTGTATCCACAGGTAAGTAGTTCACAAGGCAAGAGGAAGCAGTGTGAATCGTCATTAATAATTACATCCAGAGAGTTGTGAGATTCTCAGTGTAATTCTCGCCATGTTTAATAGCATGGTGTGTATGTTCTCATCCAACCTTCTGTTATGCCTTTTTGTCAAGGTTCTGATCTGATAAGGTCATCAATTTGGTTTTAAAATTTTATATCAAAATGGCATTATCCTTCTCTGACTTATGCTATCATGGCCTTAATTCCTATCTGACTATATTTAGGATATTTCAGATATTGAATGCCAGGAGGTTGCTGACCTTGCAGCCTCTAGGTTAATTAACTTGTCTGGGCAGAATGTATGACAACATCCTATTGATGTCTTGTTTGGCTTTTTTTGAGTCTTCTAAGGTTTATGCAGCTCAATAATGGTTTTATAGCTATTGGCTGTTTTTGAACTCTGTCCCTCCCTCGATATATACTGCTTGGGTATTCCCCATGAGTAAATGCTGCCATGAATAATGTCAGGAAAAAAGGAAAATTTGCTTCATACTTACCGTAATTTTCATTTTCTGATCATTATTCATGGCAGCATTACGTTCCCACCCATATACTATAGGAGTTGGGAACCCAGTTACAAAGACTGCCTGATGGGAAGGGGGAGGATCTATTTATACCAGTTTCAGAGTTCTATTTCCTGTCCTTTCTGCTGTGAGGGGAGGAGCTAACCCATGAGTAAATGCTGCCATGAATAATGATCAGAAAAAGAAAATTACGGTAAGTATGAAGCAAATTTTCCTTTTTCTCTCTTCTTCCAAAATTCTCTCTACTCTCCTGATTGGTTCTTGCATATGGTCTAGGGGTCTTTACTTCTATGTGGGCTTCTTTATTTTGTTTATTAAAAGTTCTCACCTGATTCGATTTATAATCTCTAAAATATTTTTTCATTTTGATATCTACCACATCCTTTTCTAATTTATCCAAATTTACTTTAATTCTATGGGTTTCGTCATCAAACTCTTTTTGGTTCAGATCATTCAGGATTCTCTCTTGACACATTCATTTCTATATCCAATTCCTTTAAATTCTCTTTTCTTCTTTAAATAATAAGGTTCATGGTGGAAAAAGAGAAACCTTCCAACATTTCTTCTCATTCCCTCATGAATTTATCTTCATCCCTGTCAAATGTGGGTACTTTAAAATATCTCAAACCTCTAGGTGTTATTTTCTCCCTCACATATTTTTCTAATGTTACAATTTCCCATTTTATTTTTAATTCCTTATTAAGCAATTTCTCTAGGTCATTGCAAACTTTCTGTGTATTTTCTGTTCTATTATGCTCTGGTCTTTCTGTCCAGTTGGATAGTTCAACTTCCATATTCCATAAAATAAAATATTTACAAGAGAACACTTTAATCAAACCTTTATGAAATATATGTTGTAATAGGAAAATATGACATTAAGTATAGTTATGTTTCATTTTCTATATAATGTATATATTTTATACTTTGTTTTTTGTTTTTTTCTCTCATATATATAATGCATTTTATAAGATAGATACTCTTTCTTCTCCCATTGTAAAAATGTTTTAAGTAATGAATTGACTCTACATAATTACTATAAATCATTCTTTTACTCCGAAAAACGGAACTTTCAATGGTGAGACGCATAGTGGAACGCAGATTCCAGGAAGGAGGGAGGAGTGATACAACACGTCCTCTTGTAATACATCAGGTGGTCCACGAATTTGCACCCCTTCGTAATGACGTCATGCAGTTCACGGACTCATGCCGGAATTGAGGCGTGGACCGCAAATACAGCGCGAAAAAGAAGCAAACGAGCGACAGCTGCTGAAGAATGGACAGAGAAAACATTTAAATAGCGGAGACCCATGAAGTCACAACTAGAAGACTGAGGAAGCCGAATTGAACAGTGAAACGCGTTTCTTTATTGATAGACTATTTCTTAGATTTGGTTTTCGTATTTTTATACTTTTATTGTTTTTTATAATAAAGTAATACTTTTATACCTATATGAGTCTCCTGCATCTACACAGATGGGTGTGTAGTCTCAAACTACACTAAGCTGTTTTACTGAGCCAGGACACATGCTCTACACTTGTGAGTATACTCCTACTTGTAATAAGCTGTAACTCACTTTTAGTGGACCTTCACTATATATATTGTCTTTTATTGAGAGGTAACGTTGGACATACACCAGTACTGGAATAAAGAGGGGGGAGGTCGCCCATAACGGACCTACAAGCATTCCATACCAGAGCTAGGTCATCATAGCTCTGGAACATGTGAGTTTTCCAATTTTTCTCCCTTAAACTCTTATAACAATAACAATATTACACTATATGCAATCTCTCTTTTAAGGTACAGAAGATACCAATATACTAATTGAAAGATCCCAGTTAAGTGTTACAATATTTTATTGGTGCATAACATAACACTGGGTTAATATATAAGCGCTACGCTGTTTTAAAGTAATTTAGGTGACTATAGGGTTCCTTTAAGGCAAGCTCCTTTGTCGAGATAGTGGCACATGCCTTAACCTCTCTGTTTGTCAAGCCTAGGAAATATTCACAAGACAACATAGCACTTTGTCTTATATTTAAAGATAAGTAAATCAGAAAAGAAGAACATATTCTGAAAGAAGCAGAGAAGAGGAAACATTAAGAGAAATGTAAATTTGAGGTGAAAGAACCATTTTAAAGGGACACTATAGGCATCATACCACTTCATCACATCTCACTGTCCCTTTAATCCTGCAGCTGCAACATTTTACAAACACTGTAGAGGGCACTGTAGAGTTAGGAATCTAGTTTTGTATTCCACACACTATAGTGTTCCTTTAACCCCTTAAGGACACATGACATGTGTGACATGTCATGATTCCCTTTTATTCCAGAAGTTTGGTCCTTAAGGGGTTAATCACTAGTATGCTTTAACATTTGTGAAATTTTTTGCATTCTGCAATATATGTCTGTATACCTAGATACACACACATGTTTATACGGATGAATACATTTTTTAATAAAACCGCTTTTTAGATATTCCTTTGATGGGCTGTGATAAAGAAAGCAAATGGGGAAAATATATATATATTTTTAAATTCTTTATTTATTCCAAGACAAGACATCACAAGCAGTACATATACAGCAACATAGGAATATGCATAAACAAGCGTGTACACTTTGATCATGGCTTTTCACAGTGGCAAGATGGGTGAACAATCAAGGTCGCATAGATCCCATAACTAGAGACCACTGGTTGTATTTACGTCTCTAATTTTCAAGGTAGTTCTCATCTCTATGTATTTCTAGATATCCTGTCTGGTTTCTGATAGAAGATAAAACATGTAATAGATAACATATGATATATGAAGACCGCACACGTGTTTGTAGAAAAAAAACGTCTAGGAATAGTATGCGAGCGTAAGTTTGCTCCCATGTCTCTATTGTAACACACGTGTATTCCCACTATGTACGGTCGGGCAATAAGATTGGGTATTGGAGGGAGGGGGGGAGTCCGAGGAGAGCCACCCGATAAAAAGACGTTTTAGGGAATGTGCTTCCCTTCCAACCCTGTCCCCCACGGGGGTCCGCAAAATCCCTCCCTGCGAGCCGGGTCCAAGTAATACGGTTTACCTCCTTTCTCAGGTTCCCCGAGAGGTATGTTTGGATATTTTAATCCAGTCTGCCTTCCTCTAATCGCTTACAGTGCTATTTGTCCAGGGGCTCCAGATCTTGTCATATTTCTTCATTGTCCCCCTGACCTGTGCTGTCAGCTTGTCCATTATGAAAGTATCTTTTATTTTTTGTTTTACCATCGCCATTGTTGGGGTCTCCATCTGTAGCCACACCTGTACTAGGGCTCTTCTAGCGGCAAGGTTTATTTTTTGTATAAGGTTTTGTTCCGTTCTTGTCCAACCATCCATGGATCTGGACAATAGAATCACCCACGGGTCTAGTTTCACCTCCCTGTCAAAAACATCTTGCAGCAATCCGTTTCCAGTAGGTTTGTGCCTCCAGGCATTCCCACCACATGTGTATATACGTACCCTTGCGTCTGCAGCCTCTCCAACACAGGTCCGTCGTGTTTTTACGCATTCAGTACACCGTCACTGGAGTGGTGTACCACCGAAATAAGGGCTTATATGATTGTTCCTGCAAGGAGACGCACACTGAAGA